CGACCTCATCCTAGCATCTGACAGTGAAGACTACCTGGGCGAAGTCTTGAGTAAAGTACTAAAGGCTCTTGGCAACTACTTCACATTGGCAAAAATAACATCAAACTCTGAAGCTGTAATAAAACAAATTCCCCACGAACAAAGGCCCGCTAATTATCCAAAGAAAGTGCTAGGGATCCATTATGACCCACAGAATGATAGGCTGGAGTGGAACCTAAGCAACCTGGCACTAGGACAGAAGGCAACGTGGAAAGAGATGCTGGGAATGATAGCAAAGATCTACGACCCATTGGGTCTGGTGACCATAGTGGTAGCCAGACTCTGAGTAATGTTCTCAGAATTGCAAAGAGACATGAAGCATTGGAGGGAGGAAGTACTGGAACAAGAGAAAACCAGATGGAATGAGGCGATAACAAAACTCCCAGATAAATTGTCTGTAACATGACATGTGAGAAAGGCTGAAGAGTACCACATTTACACTGATGCCTCCGACGAAGTCATTGGGGCAGTCATATATGCTTACATAGCAGGAAAGGGTGATACGTGCCAAAGCATTACTCGTTAAGCCAGTTATGAAAACCACCCCAAGACATGAACTCGCAGCAGCCCTATTGGGAGTGAGGCTAGCCCTGGAAGTAAGTCTGGGAGTTACTAGGTGGCCAGCAGTCTTCCTGACTGACTCCGAAGTGGTTTTGAAGTTCATAAAAAATGAAGAAAAATGGATAAGTATGCGAGGGCAAGAGTAACTGAAATATGACAATACACTAGCCCTGAGCAATGGTCTCACGTAAAGGGACAGAGCAACCCTGCTGACTGGCTGACAAAATTGCCTACACAATTCAAGCAACAAAAATACGATGCATGGTGTGAGAGATCACAGGATAACGTACAAGCTAAAATCTTAAGTAAAGTACTCGTGTTAAAGAGACCATTAGCCGAAACAACTGACCTGACATCCTTTGGACAACCCTGACCAGGTGTTGGTAACACCAAATTCTTTGAACAAAGGGCAAAGGCTACAACAGAATGACCCAAGATGGAACCAAAGACGATGGAACAAAATGGAGAGACAACGGCGTAAAATATATGTCCAGGAATTAGTAAGGCAACAGAGGAAGACAAGGGGAGGGCGAAAGCTGCAAATTGGAGATAAGGTCTTAATCATTGATAAAAATCAAGCCAAGGCACAGCTGGATGGTAGGTGTGTTGACAAAAATCCTCCTAAGTCATGATGGAGTTAAAAGAAGCTGCGAAATCAAAACCAAGAAAGGGCTGTTCACAAGGGCAGTGGGTGAAATTTTGTTCGTGGGGGAATGAACAAAACATTGTTTAGTGTCAGTGTGTGTGTGTGTCAGCAAGTGTGTGTCAGTGAAGGCTGTTGTATCTGGCAGCTCACTTGGGGACGTTTTCTGTCGGCCCCAATATGAACTACACAGTTTGGCAACTGTAAAGTGATGATTGGATATCAGATGCAAACCTCAAAGTATATAACTCCTCACTATTTTCTGCATGTAATGAACCAACAAGACAGTTAAGGAAGGGAGTGAAAGCACTCTTGAGAAGATTGCAACCGTTATAGAAGAATAAAGAATATTCTCTAAAGAATGTAAGAAACACCTCATTGCCAAGTATGCTAACTACCTAAGCCAAGGGTAAAATGACAAATAATAGGACAGTATGCTCTAACTATGGAAATAATCATACAGTCAAATCATGTATGCAATGCAGGATCTGAAATTGGCAGAAAAGGGTTCAGATAAACAGAAGGGTCGGCCTTTGTGAGAATTTCCTAAATACCGACAATCACAAGGGTGATAGATGCTCACGATCATCATGTGGAGGATATGCAAAGAACAAAAATTTGTGATTTCATTGTTGTGAGGTAAAGGGACTGGTGAAAAGGGTTTTAATCGGGGCAACGAGAGAGAAGAACACATCTTTGACAGCAATGCAAATTGATATAAATGGTAAAGGAATGGTAGCCATGCTGGATATAGGAGCAGACATTACCTTGGTCAGAAATGGGACACTGTGTCGCATAAATGCTAAATAAATAGATTCACATGCAGTGAAATTGCGAGAAGGAGAAATATATTGCTCCAGGGTATGAATTGATGGTGGCAAGGAAGGATATAGTTGTGATGGTTTATAGAGACATAGCCACAGTTACTCAGGTGGAGTTATCAACGGAAGAAAGAAGAGAATACCTGAAGGAGGTGTGGAATCCCCAAATCAACCATAAGAATATCGATAGGTACACTGATAAATTATGAACGAAGACAAAATAAATAAAGACTGATAGCTAAAGATTATTATATATATTAAGATTATTAGATATTATAATAGCTATTGCAGCTTGTCCCGTATATGCGAAATGGAAAAATCGTTTAAGAACGACGTTTTTTTTGCAGTATATATTGTTGAACGTCATCTACATCATTTCAACTCATGGTCACATGTACTTAACTCTTACCAGTAGAGATATTTCATTCGATTTACTAGTTTACCCTGCAGATGGAGCTGGTCGTGAAGTATTATCGATCGTTAGTGAATAGGCTTAGAGAAAGATTCCACAATGACGGACTCTCTGCAAAATGAATGTTGCAGAGTAATCCGAAGACATATAAATGATCTAAAGGACAACTTGCATACTTTACCTGTCAAATTACTCTGGAGTAGGATATTATATAAACTATTTTGCTATTCGACGTCTACAACGTTCTTAAACTGGAATTTTTACAAATTTCTCCATCCTCTCTATCAACTGCAATATTTAGAATTTTCGAAATGGCATAATTTGACAAACTATCATTTATCGATTCTTGGTAAACACGTGATCAATCTAAAATGTATCCAAATAGATTGTCCTCAAGGAATAAACGATTCGGGTCTAGTAGGTATGCTGCAAAATCTAACGCAACTGCAAAGTTTATCGGTGACGATAAACAATAATAATATCACTCTACGTTGGTTGGAAAGTTTGCGGTGCGAAGAAACGTTTACTGATTTAGAAATAAAAGGTTTAAAGAAATGTAACGCCGAGAGATTGCCACTTGTTGAACAATTTTTTTCAAAACACAACAAATTAACGAGCGTTAAATTAGACGCTTCAATCCCGGAAAATATATTAAAGCGTTTATTGAAAGTGATAAATACTTCTTTGGTAAGGCGAAAAATATTTCTTATCTTTCTTCTAAATGTTGTTTTCTACGATAAGACAAAGGAAAGAGAGAAGATAAAATCTATTAATTCCTCCAGGTTCATTTATCGTTTAGAGACGACGCCGCCGAAGGACTTCACTTGAATACAATTACAATTATAAGAAAGTATTGTTTAAGACTTGAAAGTATCTCCATCGTTCTTCGGAGATGCCATCCGCGCACTATCCTTTTACCTTGCCTCTGTCCAAACTTGGTCTCTTTTAAAATGAATCCTTATATGAAAAGTACCATTAACTTTGAGAATCTCTTATCGATATCTTCAAAATTAAAGGTAAATGTAGAGAAGATAAATAGTAATTGTCTAATGACTTTTGATCGTTATATAAACCAATTAGACGCTTCATCTAAGATCGGTAAGAATTCTTCGAGATGATTCTAACGAAGAGGAAAGAAATTACGAAAGGATGACCATTGAAAGTCTTTCATTATACGCAGTGTCCTTTCCGAATGCTAGAGTTGCAATGAAATTCGTGTCTTCTTTGATATCTTTAAAAGAGTTATACATGAAAAATTCACCGCAATTCGACGAACCATCCTTAGAGATGATTTTCTCAAAGATAGGTTCAAACCTAAATCATTTAAAAATCTTTGGAGACTGCTCTGATTTTGTTTGTAAATTAATTGGTTTACATTGTTGTAAACTTGCCAAACTGGAATTGAATTTTGAAGAAAATTCAAGAGAATTCCATTCAATAACCGAGAATGAAAACTTTAAAAGTAAACTAATACTTTTACATCTAACTTCAAACGTAAATAGATATTTGTTTCTTTTTCATCTTTTCATCATTTCTCTTTTTTCCAACCAGCTTTTGCCAACAACTTTATATTCGATAACCAATTTTACAAGACTTATTAGACTCTACTTGACCGACTTTATCGATAATGATTTTTTAATTCTATTAAGCGAAAGATGTCGTCAATTGCAGGATGCTTATTTCGAAAACTGCGATAAAGTAACATTCTTTACTTTTAAATGTTTGTTTTAAATCTTTTATATACATATCTCTCTCTTTATATTTCTTCTTCTTCTTCTTCTTCTTCTCCTCCTTCTTCCTCTTCCCAACATTTAGATCAATGATTTTGGAATTTTTAGTTTTACTTCCGGTTGTATTGAATTAGAAACATTGAAAATGAATAAACTAGAGAATATTAGCGAAAATTCTATAAGACAAATATGTAAATTGATGAATCTAAAGCATCTGTCATTGTACGGCGTTCCAGACCACGTGGCTAAATTTGGTGTAACATATTTAAAGGTTAGTCGAAATAAAGTCCTCTTTTCTTATCTTATCTAATTACTAATTTTTTCTTATTTAATATAGAACTATTCAGAAATTGATAGCTTTCGTATCTCCACGTAACCCATGTGTGTGTGGGGGGGCTACTTTCTTATATTCGAACAGGCCTATTGGTAAATTATTTCTGGAATTTTTAAACACTATTGTATAGTGTACTGGTTGTGTTTATTTAAGCCTAGTATTTAGTAAATATACAGTAAGATTACGAAAGTATGCTCTATTAGAGTTGTTAGATGGTATTTTTATTAAATAACGTAGTACAATGGTTATATTCACGAAACATAAAATAAACCCAGCCGTCTTCTTTCATTTTTTTATATGAAAAAACCATATAAATGTATATATTCTATATATTATGAATATTACTGTATACATTTATACAACATCATTATTAGCCATTTTATACTTTGTTGATAAATCTAGTATCATTCTAACTATTGAACATTCAGAAATGTAGCAATTTCTTCTTTTAGACGATATATCAAGAAATATATGGGCAGTTTCCTTCTGTTACCTTAACATTGTCCAATGCTATATCTCCTTTACCAGCTCCTCTAGACCTGGCTGTAATGATTATTTGATCAATGTCATCGGTAGATTTTAAAGGAATATATATATTGTTCCATTTATTTCCCATATTCTCGCTCTTTCTGTAGAGTGATGCTTTCAAAAGTCCTCGTCTCGATGATAGTATTTCGAATTCTCCTATTTCGTTTTGAGATCCAGACATATACAAAGACGTTTCTAGACAATAATCTTTGTTATTCAAATTAAAAATTGGCGATTTCAATTGCGTAGAATATCCAAATTGATTATATCTCGCGTCTACGTATATATACCAGCCGTTTCCTCCCTGTGAATCGCTCTTAGGTCCCAGAGACGGCGTTGAACCATAATGCCTGGTCCATTCGAATTTATTTGATGGACTGTTTGGATTTTTTAAGACAGACCACAATCCAAAATCCCTTTCAAAGTTACACGTCAATTGTTCTAAAAATAGACAAGATAGCATAAGATGGAGAATTGTTTGAGATATGAATATGCAATAATGATATTTTGTATAATAAACTTACCTGGAGAAGATGCAACCTGCGAGTTATCTTTACACGAACCGGAATGAACGGATATATCATCTATAGCAATATCCCCTCTATAATCTCCTTGAGACGTTGCTCTAATGACAATTTGATGAACATTGTGAAATGGTTTTAAATCAAAGGCGAGTTTGTGCCATTCATTTCCGAGATTAGCGGACGTTTCGTAATATTTGATTGTATCTAAACCGTCGTAATAGCCGAAAATTTGAAGTTTACCAATTGAATTCGAAGAGCCAAACATATGATAGTACAACTTAACGCAGTAATTATTATTGTTCAAGCTGAAATACGGAGATACCAATTCCGCAAAGTGACCTTTCTTACTCAGGGATGCTTCGACGTATGCGTACTTTCCAGTTTTATTACCGTAGGTATGATCGTTAGTGGGTCCTGTGAACAATGAATGTGTGCTTCCTTGATGAAGTCCCCATTCATACGAGTTGTATTCCGACTCGGGATATTTCAAACGGTTCCAGGTGCAGAAACCAGGTTCAAAATTACAATTCAAGTATTCTAATGATTGAAAAATGCGTTTTAATATTAAAATTCTAAAGAGTAAAAAAGAAAAGAAGAAGAAGACGACGAAGAGAAAGAAAAGCTTACGTGGAGGATAATAGACCGGAATTTCAGTTGGCTTTATAGTTCCAAAATCTCCTTTTAAATACAAAGAGAGTTATTATATAGATATAATTGAATAAACAAGTAAACTATTTACCACGGCAATCGTTTATTTGGATATCGTCGATTGCGGTAATTCCAAGGATACCTTTCAATCTTCGTACTTGAAAGATAACCTATAAAAATATGCCTATGTAGACAAATAGTTCGTATCCTTTAAAACTGTTTATATTGAGTTACCTGATCAAATTTTTTGAATGTTTCTAAAGTAGACTTTGTCCATTGTTTGTTAGGATTCTGCCTTCCTACAATTAATGTCTTTTCAACAATACGCCCTTTGTTAAGTAGGATTACGAAGAGGTTATTATCAGCGTGATCAATCATATGATGGAATTGAAGACAGAGTCTTAGCGGTTTGTTCGAGTCAAAGTTAATTTTTGGAGAAGTAATAAAAGTTTCTCGAAAGTCGTGTCCCAAATTCGCAGTATACATATAAGCACCTGAAAGAGAGTAAACAAGCTATTTTCCTCTTCAATCTAATTACACCACCGTTTTACCTTTTCTTCCACTGTGTTGGGGAAAATTCAATAAACCCCTTTGGAATTTGAATATTTCAAGTTCATTAGAGACACTCGGCACGAAGGAACAATTAGAATATTCAAAATCGCATTGCCAATAAATTTTTTGTCCTGTGTTTAAAATTGAAAAGAATTCTTTTAATTAGTTTTTTCATTCATTCGTTCTTTTATCTAGCAATATAATAAAACAACAAATAAAAACATTTACCAAAATTCGATGGGAACTTGAGAAAGGATAGAAAAAATACAAAGTAAAGATAACTCTGTCTCATGTTGTTCATGTAAGATTGTGAGGTGGGCATCTATAAATCGTTATATATATATATATATACTTTATATATTCAATTATTTGTAATCGTTATTTAAAAACGAGAGGGAAGTTCTTATCGAGGATATTTCGCAATACGGAAAGTATGAACATTTTCTAGGGTGTTTACCCTGGTATTACGGAAGAAATAAAGGTTTAATAGGCATTTGTGAATGGGTTAATTATATATTCGGCTTTATTGATCACTATATTACGTATTTGTTAAAAAAGAATTTTTGTATTCTAATATAGTTTTCGTACTATTGAAAGAGATAACAATAGAGTGTGACTGAGTGGGCAAACTTACTCATTTAAACCTATTTCAACTGATTAACAACTCGTATCTTATATCGAATATAATTAATCGGCCTAGAAAAGGAAAATAGATTTTCGTATCTTTGAACAGTTAAAGATAAATAGGCCTAAAAAGGTTATCGTGTTTTTTTAATTAACAATTACAAGGTTATTTCTTTTGGTTATTCCACAAAAACCATCTATTTCACACAAACCGACAATGCTTAAAACGGCTTAGAAAACTCTCCATTAACCACTTACCATCTATGCACTCAAATGGCAAACTCGTCTGCTATCGATATAGAATCTTTCACATGTAAAATATGCTACAAGAGGCCGTCAAATATTCTCAATTTACCCTGCTCTCATATTATTGCCTGCGAAGCTTGTTTTATAAGCCTAACTCAACCTCATTGTCCAATATGCAGAGATAAAATATACGGATTCGTTCGGATAAAATCTGACCTATTCGACTACGAGACTCAATTCTTTGTGTGAAGAAAAGGAAAATAAAAAATATGTTAACTGCCATTAGAGAAAGTGAAAATCTATAATCTGCCGTTTGCATGTATTCTGTAATCAATTGTCTTATTCTAAAAATACTGATAATAAGAAACATTTCCACTATCGCTTTCACCCTTTTAACTATATAGAATACAAGCGTCGAAGAAAACATTAACGTTCCTTAACAACGAGGTGAATATCTTTTCTATATTACCATAACATCACAAATAACCAATTGATCATTGTCAATTTTCTTAAATATTTGAATGTCAACCATCTTGGTATCGTCACAGTGAAAAATACAATTAGCGATTTCATTACATACTCTTCCATTGTTTGAATAAGCAGTAATAGAATATTCGCAATCTTTTATCTCTTTTCCAATAATTTGAAATGATGAAAATGGCGAAGAATTTTCAATTCTTAAAACTAAAGGATTTGTAGTAGAATATAGACAAGATTCCAATTTATTATCCATTAAATCGTATATTATAGGCTGCTTTTGACTATTGTTTTCTTTGCATTTTGTACTAAGATCAGGAATTGTAATTGTGTATAGAGGATAAAGACATTCCAATTTCCATACTTGATATTTTAACTTTTCACTTTCATGATCAACATCTCCAAAAAGCAATGTTTTGATTGGTAATCTCGATGACTTAACCGAAAAATATCCCTCGTCCGTAAACCATTGCTGACCTCCTCCAGTCATATAACATCCCGCTGCGATATTGGATTCATCTATACATCTTTTACTGATGAAGCAATTGCATACTCCATCAATAGACGCTTCAGTTGGTTCTATTTGTAAGCCATCCCAAAAAACGAAACTTTGATCATAAACTGACGTTTCAAAAGTTTCGATTTTCATTCCTTGTCTACAAAATGTTGTTGTCTTTAGAAAGCTATTCAATTCATTTTCATTGAAATCTTCGTAAATGATATCCTTGACGAACGATTTACCTGCTGCATATCTAGAATCGCTTAGGAGAGTTAAATCTTCAGAGTTGTTATCGAGAAAAGCAATTCCAAAAGTATCATTTTCTTTTCTGCAACGAATACTCGAAATGTTTCCGCTTTCTAAAGGTTGAATTTGAAAAATTTCATCATTCTTTCCCTTCTGATAATAGAAGGCCTCTGTACAAGATTCAAAAACATCAGAACCTCCATTAAAACATAGTCTATCAAAGAGGAAAGTAACGATAATGCAGAATGCTATCATCGTCGTTATCTAGTCTAGAAGAGACAAGAGCAAGTGAGAGCAACGCCAAGGAAACAATGCGGGGAACATAAAATAATAAAAAGAACTTAATGGAATAATGGATAATTGATGACATTTATGTAAATGAGGATAAATTGAGAACGTTTCAAAAGATAAAAAACAATGACTATCTTATGCTTCCTAAGAAAAATGATAAAATAGCAAACAGAAATTCTTTGTTGTCTTTTTTCGATATGTTAGCTTTCTGTCAATGTTTTTCGCTTAGCAATTTTAATAAATAAGGAGCGTCAATTAATCACTTTATTCTCTTCAACTTGATTTATAATATTCGTTTGGATTCTTAATCTTCTAACCCTGGAATTTTAAGAATGTTCAATAATTTCCATCTATATAATATATTACTTTTTAACTGGAAAGAGACGGTATTTATGGTTTTTGGATGCAAATTGCATTTTTGCATTACTGCACTGAGTATCCTTCAATAAATATCTTTATGTAAATTGTGTGGTTTATGAGGAGTACCGAAACAATTTTACCGTTTTCTCTGCTTCTTGACTATTCTTCTACTTCTTGAATTCGTAGGATCTTCAAATGGGAAAAAAGAGGAAGAGGTGAAGGAGGATAGGTAACCATTTAGTTCGTAAAAATGCTTAGTCATGGTTTGTGCCATTCGCATTTATCTAAAAGGGTTAGGTTTACACACGTAAATTAAAGTCAAGGAATGATATGTATGGTCGACAATGGCTGAAGATAGATAAGAAACATCTACCAAAATTTGATGGATTTCTATTAGCAACCGTGTAAAATATACTGCTGGAAATCATAGAGTAAACGTAAGGGATTCGGTATAAAAGTAACATAGAATAGAAAAATATTCAATAAAAAATTGGTAGTAGACAAAGGTTTCATGAGATATTTAAAAAAATGCTTGAATATATGATAATCAATTATTTCTTGTTCATTGTTCATTATTGTCATAGCGATGTCTCCAAAGTCGGTATTCATTAAATAATAAAGCTCTTCTTTTCTATGTCAATTCGTAATCATTCGAAAAACCTTCAATTGTTGTAAATAAATTTATATGCTTTCCATTTTTAGCAAAAAGATGATATTTTACGAAAAGTATCTCTCTCAAAAGGCTGCAGGTCAAGATCTAAATATATCGTTTGAAGCCAAACTTAAAGTTATATAAAACAAAATTAAACTAAATGAATGAAATTTCATGATAACTGTAATATTACGCAATATAGAATCTCTTCAAATAATTCTACCATAAGCAATGGAATTATATAGTAACTTAATAACGTTCGTTTCCAAAATAGATAACCTGACATTTGCAAGGAAAATATCACAATATGTGAATCGAATAAAACACAATAATTATATGAGAATGCTATGAATTATGCATGTTTTCATATTCTTTAGATACTTTTTGATCACATTGACCGAATCATTTAATGACATCTGACTTTATTTATTAACAAATCAATAAGCAAAATGGCTGTAAAAAGTTATGCATAGATTTAAACTTTTCAAATCACTGATATGTTCAAAGAATCTACAAGATACACCATTTTGTTGTTCAAATAAAGCAATTTTACAGTTCACAGTGTAACAAGAATATGGCTTTATTTACCGAAAAAAGACCCCTTCTATAATCAAATCAGTGCAATTTAACAAGGGGTCCATATGAAAGGACATAACTTGAATACTACATAGTAGATACAGTAATACTATTAGCATATACAGTATATAAAACAATCCCATGAATTGCTAATAAAATTGAACTCCAAGACACATAAATCCATTCAAACTTTTCAAGTCACTACTCAGATCGATTCCTTCAAAAATGTTATCAAACACAATTTGTTGAAGATGACTACAAGATAGAATTATCTCTTTAAGCAATGCTTTATCCTTTGAGTAGTTTTCAAGACTACAATCCGATATGTCCAATTTCCTAAGAATCTTTTGAAATCCAATGAATTTTTGAATAGCACGCAGACAACTTTCGTCTAATTTACATTTCCGAAATACAATCTCTTCAATATTGTTGCAGACATTTGGAATGCTGTTTAGGAGATTGCCAAATCTATTCTCCATATCTCCATTCATTAGATGCAGAGATGCGAGTTTCGTTTGACATCCAATAACTATGGCCATGTTTTCGTGAAGACTATTGGAGAAATTCGATATATCCAGCTTTAATTCTCTTATATTCGAGTATCTGGGTAGAATATATTGAAAGATGTCGGATTTTTTATGACTTTCCCAACTGCTATTCGAATAAAACAGCTTTTGAAGACGAGTTTGATTGTCGATGAATTTTCCTAGATGCTCGTTCATATCTTCTTTATATGCGATATTTAACAAATCCAAATGTTCAACTGTGCAACACGACTCTAAAATACACTGAAATAAGTTTCTTCCACTTTCTTCTTCGAACTTGGCCGATGATAGACTAAGAGTGTTCAGATTCTTTTGTCGTTGTATTAATCTTCCAATATCCTCACTCAGATTATTTGAAAAGTGTACTTTATCGAGATAAAGTTTAGAAATGTTGCAACAAAACTCGGGATTATCCGGAAACATAGAATCGTCTATATTGATAGGCATTTCTGTGCAGGTAATTCCGCTAAGATCAAGGTAGTTAAGTTGAGTCTGGCAAGCGATGAATGCTCCAAAGTCTTGCCGATTTTGTCGAGACAATTCGTAATTGGGTACAGATAGTTCGGTTAGATTGAAAGATGGCGAAGGTATGTGTTTAAATATATTTGCTATAGAGACTCCATCAATATCGGTGTAGGAGAGACAGAGTTTGTTTAGTCGCGTTTGCCGTCCTAAAAACTGAGCGAGATGTTTGTCAGTATCGTTTAAACAGCATTCGCTACAATCGAGAAAGATTTGTTCAATATTGCAGCACAACGGAGATATATGCTGAAAGAGATTAGTATCGAATAAATTGAGAATAATTCTTCCAGTAATGTTTAAATGTTTCAGATCCTTTTGTCGTCCTATTAAACTTCCGGCAGCTTCTAAGTATTCTTCTTGAATTGGAGATTTAATTAATGATATAGATTTCAACGTTGATACGGACTCCATTACCGAGAAAAAATCCTGAGCAAAGGATTCTCTAATATATGTAGATTGAACTGTAAAAGTTTGAATGTTTGGAGATCGTTTAATGATGCCACTTCTGTCAGTAACATCAAGATATTCTAAGGCTTCATTACTGATAACAATATCAGTAATTTCCAATTGTTTAAAGTAGTTTGCAATAGTGAAATATTGATTAGGTTGGACAAACTTTTGTCTACCAATGATTAAGGTTTTAAATCTTTTAAGACGGAAAAATTCAAAGTATATCATATCTGCTAATTCTAAATTGAAGTCTCTTGAATCCAGGACACTTTTAATGTTGTTAAAATTATAATTAAGATTATCTGTTGGTGAGTTTAGAGACATTAAGGTAGTATTCTCTTTGATAAGAATTACTAAATCCAAGAGAATTTCAATATCAAGATTTGGACCGTAAAATGTCAAAATTTTGATTTTGTTTTTCTCCTTGGCAATCTTTTCGAAAAATTCCAATGCAGCGTCATTTTCGAAGGGATTAGAGGATAAATCCAGATCGAATAATGACTGAAATCTATATAGATTACGGGTAAACCAACTTAGAAAATTCGAATCCAAGTTGCAATTGTTCATGTAGAGTTTTTGAAGTTTAGGCATATTTAACACTATAGAATAGTCCCATTTTAGAATTCCTTTAAAGTTATTATCACTAACGTTAAGAACGGTTATATTATCGTATTTGAAAAGATAACATAACATCATTTGATCTAATTTACATTCACTAACATCCAATTCCAAATCTGGATACTTTTGAAGATAATTTAATTTCAAAAGACGTTCCATATTCTCTCTATCGTGATCACCGTCGGAAAAGTCAATTTTCTTTATAACTTTCAATATATCAAATAAGTAGACGTAGTCGTTAAAATTCACCTTTTGACCATTCACACCAATAGTATTGATACTTTGAGATGAATTGATCATTTTCTCAACAAAGTTCCTTATAATTCGGTCATCGAGTTCATTTTTTCCAAGATACAAACTTGTCACGTGTATTTCGGTCTTTAATGTTTCAGCCTTCTTTTTCAAATGTTCTATTTGATACGTATTGATGTTAGGAAGCTTAAGCGTTTTCATACTTTTCATCATTAGTATTGTCTCCATAAACGAGAAATCGGCCGATTCATTTAGTTCGTTATTTAATAATTCCAGTTGCGATAAGTGTTTACTTTTCTTCAATAAACGACAAAGACCGTCGTTGGATAATTGCGAATCGCAATGGTTAAGAATTAGAACTTTTAACTTTGTTAGATTTTCACTTATGCAATTGAACAAGTATTTTGATGATTCCTCATCAAATTCATTTCCGGAAAAGTCCAACTTTTCCAATGGACTGTTCATACTAAACATATGTCCCATTTGCATAAAATGTTCGCTATTCAATGAACAATATATAGATGAAACAGTAGTAATTACGGTTGATTTCCCCAATCTTTTACTTATATTTCTAATATCAACAACTGAAAAAGGCAAACAAGTGAGTATTCTCTTCAAAAGTCTTATTATATTCTATTTATAATAAAAGAAAGAAAAGACTTACCACTAACATCTCTGTCTTGAATATGAAATTTATCAATACTCTTATAATCTATCATTCGAAACTTGCATGTTATATAATCCGTATCTTCACTTTCCCTTCTTCTTAGATTAAGCTTTGTTTCACTCCTAGTAGTACTTTCAATACTGTATTTCAGGATTATTTCATTTGTTTCAATTTCCGAATGCTGGAGAAAAGGTTGAATATTTGCTACTTTTAATGAATTATCCGGTTTTGAAAGTTCATTGAATATCATATTTATCTTCTCTTCTTTTTCTTCCATTACTCTATCCTTCTCTAAACACAGATTAATATATTCAACAACAAAATAATCACGGAATAAAGAATGATAGAATTTAAAAAGTTTCTTTCCATTTTCAACGTAAGGTATCAACAAATCTGCAACATTCTGACAACTTTCGAGAAGATCCGACAATTCCATCGGTGTTCCGTAGAAGTAGTTATTAAATGCTTTTCTGCAACATTCCATCATTACTCCGTCGAAATCAAAATTCCCTTTGAAAGTATAAATGTGATCTTTCATATTATTAAAAAGTGACTTAAATATTTTCAGTTTAGGGCAATTATTCCATTTATCCATATTCTTCCAAGTAAATAGTAGTAATAAAGCATTTAAGGGATTGTAACATATGTGATGCATGGAATTAATCAATACCGATATATTTCTCTCAAGACTAATTGCTTTCTTATTATCCGTTTTTAGATTAAGATTAGCGTCGAAATACAACAAGTTTTTGTTGGAAAAGTGGATCAGATTTTCATCTGATATACATCTTTCAGGTTGATTATCATCGAAATAATCTGGGTTAATACAAAATCTCAATACGAAGAGAGTCATATGATAAAAACTAAAACCCGTGATTTCAAAAATATGATCGTATTCCTTCCCTAGATCTTCCATTCTCCAATATCTCGACCACGAAATCATAGCAAACTTTTTGTGAAGATTTGTAGCTTTTATATCGAGAATTCGATTACGATTTCGATTTGTATTATCATTTTCATCAAAGAAGAACACGATATTTCTACGACGATTATCTTGTAGATCGTTCAAATAATAGTTGAGTAATTGTTTTGTTACTTTTGAATTAGGAGAGAAATTTTGTCTGAGCAGAATATCGAGAAAATCTTCATCATCCGAAATTTCGTCCATTTTCACTAAAATGACCAAATAATTGGAAAATATGTTGTAATTGGTCGCCCAAAGATTCAAAAGCTTTAGACAATGATACGTTTTACCAATTCCCGCCTCGCCTCCGAAAAGAATAGACTGGTCATTATTCATTCCATTTAAATGATTAATTAGGTCAATAGTAAGACCTTCGCTAGAATAAACGTTCGATTTACTTCTGGAAATGATTTGAATAGGAATGATATAATCTAAAAATGATTTATTCATTTTTCCTCTTTTCAAGAATGGAGATTTTTGAATATTTGAAATTTCTTCCAGAACGAATTCTCTTCTTTCTTCAATCAAACTTTTCCATGTATTTTGTAAGCGAATTATTAAATCTGTATATTTTGATTCGGATATTTCGCTGAGTAATGAAATTATCCGATCAGTAGGTTGGAATAGAATGAAATTATTGAATAAATATTCAAAATCATTCTTCAATCTCTTCTTCTCTCCATCTTCATCAGTAGTATTTTGTTGTATAATATAATTGCAGAATTCGTCGTCATCCTTTAGCGTTTGCCAGAGGATATTTTGATGATAAAGCAAAAGTGGATTTCTCTCCATGATTCAACAAACGTGATTGTCAAAGGCCGAAATGGATAACAGGAAATTTTGAAGGGTCATTTACCGCTGATTGACAATTATCTAAATGATTCTGATTATTTCTTGTCTTAATCAATTAATTAGACAATTTTAATCTAATCGAATTGCTTAATAAACATTAGTACGATCCTATAAAATATAGAGAAAATGTAATATTACTAAATATTGTGAAGATTTCCATCGGCATTACTCCTATATTCATTGTACTATATGATCTGGTTTGTTTAAAAAAGCAATACTGTTGTCAAGATCACATCGATTTTGTATTGTAAAGCCAATAGTTACATAGGCTTTATTTTGATTAAATAGGCCAATTTTTCTTTATTTGCAAAGTTATCATAAAATGTGCTGATTTTTCAATATTTATAAAAAGGCTTTTAAGAATTAGTGACCCATAATGAAAAAGAGATAAACTCTCTTAACTGAAAAGTTGATTATTATTCAATGCTGGCATTACTCAAAGCTTAAACTGATGATTGAAGATGGAGAGGAATTTGTTGTAAAAGTCTTTTAAAGAGATGGGATAATAAGAGAGAATTCTTTACCTTTCTCTATTAATTCTGTCTATTAACTATGAAAATCATAAGTTTACTACTTTTCTAAATTTTTCCTTTCTTTTCCTCATTAAACGAATAACGGGCTGACTGATTATCCGAAATTGAAATGTTCAAACGTTCCTCTAAAGCCTCGTTTTGAAGTATAGATGAATTTTTTCGCCAGTTATTAAATTATAAAGAAGACGTCATTTAGCATTCTTTTATTTGGAGTTGTTTCACCTTGAATTCAACCTTTTGTTAGATTATAGTTAATAATGAATTATATCTTGAATGCATCGACTGTGAAGGTTGACCTGCGTATAACGGAATATGAAAGAATTTCTTTCATTATAAAGTAATTCGAAGGGCGAACACATTTTTTTCTATATGAAATATGTATATAACAACAAAATGTTGTCGTTGTAGCCACAGTAGCGCTATTATCTAATCGGTATCATTGAAAAACGCTAACAAGGAAGTAGAACAAAGTTTTTTGAAAGTTTATTGAATTGAAAAGAAGCATTTCACATTGAAAGTTTGTCATTAGTATTTTATTAATTCAAGCGCAAACGTTTGCAAGTCTGCTTGACGATGATAGTTGAATCTCGCAAATTTGAATATTCAGTGAATAGTTTGTTATTTTAATCATTCTCCAGTTCTTTCCCGAACAGGAGAATTTACATAAGTTATCTTCATCTTCTATTAGGTCGCACATTTTTAGTTTGTCGTTTGGATCGTTGACGACCATAATATCATCGCATTTGTTCGCTTTATCAACCTTGTGGATAGTTACATATATAGTTGTTTGTGGTAACATTTTAACAGTAGCTCTGAATGTAATTATTGAGCCAATAGATAACTTTGGAGGGTTACTTTGGCAATCTTGAAGACCATCTCCTAGAGATTTCAGGAAATTATTAGTCGACAAACCAGACAAACAATTCGTCGACGCAGAAATATTGAACAACGCTAAAAAGAGAACTATTTTCACAAAATGATAAAATTGAATGTAAGACTTACAAACGCATTGAGGTTTAATGTATAAAGTACTACTCGGGTTTGAAGTAAGGGAATCACCCAGGGATGAAATATCAAGCAGATCGCAGTTGTTTGTATTCATATTAAATGAAGTACAATTCGTTCTTTGATTACACTCTGCTTTACAAACATCCACATCAGTTGTAGAAATTGGAGTTTTATGACATTTACTGCATTTTAGCATTTTGTTATCAAACTTTCTCCAGTTGTTACAATCTATAAGAGAATTGAATATGTAAAAGAGACGCTTAAATCATAGAAATCCTATATTTACCATAGACTGTAATCTTCCCATAATAGAAGATATCGTCATCCATAAGTATATTCGGACCGTATGAAATAAACTTTTGAAGATAGCAATTTTTTGAAACTTGGTTATATGACAAACTTCCGCAGTTTACGTTATCAGTACATTTTACAATACAATACTCCAAGTTTGGAATTGAAAGTGTCTGTATTACATCATCGTTATTCAAAGTGCCTTTAAACTTGACGTATGAGTGGCAAACTAGAATTATTCGTTAGGGTAATAAGAAAATACTAGTTAGTTTGTTAATAATTGTGTTTTTACCAGATTTTTCAACGTAAAGACTGTCAATTTCCGACGTAAAGCCAAAGAGAAGGAAGATGAAACTTTGTAAAACAACCATCATTATGCCGCGATTGAGTGAGTTTAGTTATCGTTACTGTATTTATACTAATATTAAATTTACTTATTCATATTTAATATAGTACTTGAAGGAAAACGGTCATTCTTCTAACCCTTTGAAAAGGAGAACAAAAATAAATGCACAATAGTCTCAAGGATAATCACCTGAAATATTCATAGGAATGTTTCATTAATTATCTCTTCAGTGCCTAGTTACTTTTTTTATATTTCCCTATTCTACTTTAATTAAAATTACGCAATTGAATAGGATTTGGTATGAATATATTAAAAGATTTGGTTGTTTTCAATATAGGTCTATTTGCAGCGTCTATAAGTTATAAAGAATTCGGGATAGTAGTGATCCTTATCGTAAATGACAAATTCTCGAAAATTTAATTTTCTGCCATCCTCCCTGTGAGTGCCAAGTACACTTTCGTAAAGTCTTTGATGACTTCCCTTGGAGGATCTTGTCGGTGGTCTTCTCTTACCTTTCATTGTACTTTTTGTATGAAATACACTTCCTAATAAAACTCTTGCCATAATGATTTGATGCTCAGTTCCACCACCTACATATTGATCAGCTTTCGTTGGACTTTCGCTGAAGTATACTCCACACCCAAACATAGCTCCATCACCAGTCCATTTTGGATCGACACTTTGTTCTTTTACTATTTCAATTGTTTCGGACTTTGTTCCGTGGAAGAGATAGTGTTCGTTGACCTCCTGAATTAACGTTCTTTTGACATCATCATGAGCGACGGTATATGTTTCAACTTCTTCTTCAGGGAATGGTTGAATATCATCTTTCATAGCCATTCTTATAAGATTATTTCTATTGGATGCATACTGAAAGAAGGATTTTAATAAAAAAAACAATGAAAATCATTAAAATATAAAATGAAAACTGCTTTTAAACTTTTTCATAAATTGAGGGATGTTCTAATCTTTCAATTTTGATTATTTCAATATTTTTTATTGACGAATCTTGTTCTCTTGAATCTTTTCCGTGGCCAACGAATTTTGGTTTCCATGTATCCAAACAGATTTTCTTTAATTTTCTATTAACGAATAACAACAGAACAATGAAAATATTATGGATAATGGATAAAGAATAATAACTCGAATAGTTGTTCATCGGTGTCCTTCAAATTGATGAGGTCACTTTCCCCTCCAGCTGCAGTTGCATCATTTAAATATGTTGAATTTAATGACCAATTTCTAGGCACACGATAGCTCAAATTAATAATTTTCTAATAAGAACAAGGAAATGGTTAAAAGAATGGTAAAACAATTGAATTTGTTCAATTCACCTGCAATCTGTCTGCTTTTGATTTGGCTTTATCTAGATCACCCCAATCAAGTAACTTTTTAGATGAGAGACTTTTAGAGTGTTGTAAATCGCAAGCTAATTCTAAATCGTAGGCTTTTTCTAAACATTCCAGATTATATTTCATGAAATCACCAACAGTTTTTGCTTCTTTAAATGTCTGCTTCATAATCTCATTCAATTCAGTCTCGAAGGAAACAATGATAATTTTCTGGAATTAATCTATTGTTTCATTGTCACGGAGAGAGGTATTAAGATGATTACAATACCTTGATTGAAGTATTAACGTGAAAGATAAAGTAGCTATTTATTTCTTCGTTGAGGACCTTGGCAACTGCGTTTGGTTCGTATTGGCACGCTTTACCACAACCAATTGGAGTTAAAGCTATAACCTCTTGTTCAAAGTGATCAGCCCATTTTAAAAGACATCGTATAACCTTTCTTAAATTCTATTAATAGCAAAGTAAATAATTACAGTATATTCTAGATCTTGAAACCGAAAATACAAACGCTGTAGCCTATAGCATATGAATATCTGGTTAATTTCGTATGAAAGATGTATTTGTTTTCCAAATAAGAACATCTTATTTCCAGTTCCAGTGGGATCGCTCTTGAAAAATCATCTTCCAAAGCAGGAAATTCTTCGCAAAATCTTTTTGATATAATACCGCATTCAGATAATTTCGATTTCGTTAGAGGAAGATTATTTACAAGAATGTTGGCCTATAATAAATAAAATATTGTACGATTTTCATCGTCGAAACAAGTATAAAAAACTACCAACTTCATCCTTGCTTTCCATGATATCTCCTTCTCTAAAAATGACTCTACTCCCTGCTGCCGAAGGTATTTTAATTCGACCAGCATCGGCAGCCTCCAAAAGACTCCTCTCAATTTTCCTTCTTCTAGTCATCCTCTCTGGAAGTATTTTGAAGAATGTCTAAATAATCTTATCTATAAACACTAATATAAATCTTGTTAAGACGATCAACTTCAAAGAGAAAATAAAAGTAGAACAAGGAGACAGTAGAATTTCTTATTGGCCATATTTCTTTTTTTATGATCAATACTAAACTTAATCGATGTTTATAAATAAATGTATCGCAGCTACAATACATAGTATAAAGAACAAATTCTTTAGGATACCATTAACAACTTACATATTTAAAATTAACAAAAGTTGATAATTTTGCGATGGTTATTAGTGGTTTTAATATCTGTATTTCGTTTCGTAGTTGATATTCTAAAGTAGGGCGTTTAACTATTTCCTAGAGGAGTATCTTTTCAAATATTTTCATAGTTTATACTTATAACCATTAGTTATAGATTAAGCGATCAAGTTTTGTATTCAAATGTAAATGGTCGTCATACGTTTTAACTTTTATAAACACGCTAAAAACCATATAGATATGTATTTACTGTAAATGGAGTGTTAATAGTTCTCATTCATCCTATTGACATCTATTCATTCATATGTTTTCTTCTTCCTCAATTACTTTTTTAATAAAGTCATATTGACTTGCAGTTTGGGTAAAAATAGATTTGCCATATTTACATCCTCTAATACCCCAGCTAACTACTCCACTTGCTGTCCATTTCCCCCCGATTTTACAGGATAGAGGACCACCAGAATCGCCCTGAAAGAAAAACATTAAAAAACTTATAACAAATGATATACTTTTAAAAGATAATTTCATTTACCTGGCAAGATTGAGACTGTGGAGTTTCAACACCTTTTCCACAGATTGTTTGTGGATAATTTAACATGAATAATCCTTTAGTTTTATTTGCCATGTCACTGGCGCAACTCTCCTGTGTTTCCAACTGAATTTTAGTTTTCATTAGAAAATCAGACAGTTGTTTATCTAAAATAGAAAATATACTAATATAAATTGATGGTCTTTTCTCTTTAAATATTTTAATTAGCCTACTCTGTCCATTTAAATATCCAAAACCGGAGACGTAACAATCGTAATCTTCATTACCAGTTAGAGGTTGATTATTCAAACAAGCAGTGTTGATTGAATCAGACATTATAACAGCTTTATTCAATTTTAATATGGCTAAGTCATTCTCTATAAAAACACTTTTATAGTCCGGATGGATAAAGGCTTTAGAGACTTTATAAGTCTTTCCACCATAGATGTAAACAGAGCCCAAACTTATGGATATTTTTTCGTTTCTAATAAAAAGATTTCTTAATTACTACAACATTCTATTGGCTATTCTCATTAATTCAAATAGAAAAACTAACGGTTTTATGCAATGAGCAGCTGTAAGTATAAATCGTTCATGAATAAGAATTCCACCACATTTAATAAACGTAAAATACGTAAAATATGTATCGAGTGATAGTCGCACCTGATTGTAAGATATGTAATTATATATGAACTTTAACTTTGAAATATTTATTAAAGAGTTTAGATTACCTGCCATGGAAATTCACTAGCGTCAGTAACCCTTTTTCCTCCAACAATGAACGAACTACTACTTCTTACGCCGCAATTTTTGTGATTGAGACCAACAGTAACCTGAATTTTATCTGAAAGATGAAAAACACATTTATTCGTTTTATAAACATCAATAGAAAGTGTTTTACGAGGTTTTCGAGTGGTAAGTGAAGGTGGAGCAGTTGGTTTTGTTAATATATTTCTTAAGTTATTTTTTATAGTATCCTCTATCCATCTATAATATTTGCCAGTTTGTGTATATAATATTAGATTCTTTCTATATAATTCGTTCGATTTCTGCAGGATACCTCCCACAAACCATTTTCCGTTAACTTTACAAGTTAGAGGAGATCCTGTATCGTACTGGAAAAAAGGATAATGCACAGATAATAAGTTTTTATCTTAACATAATACTATTTTAAGAACTTTACAAAGATAGTTTGGCTTTGACGAGTATTAAGAGTTTTTCCGCAAAGTATTTCTGGATAAGAACGATAATAACTATAGAAAGCGTTCTTGCATATCAATTCAGTTACAAGGTCTTGTTGCAGTTTTTGAAGTTGGTGAGTATAACCTTTTGGCTCTGTAATTAAAGGATTGCGATTAAAATATCTACAATTCTCTTTCATAATCCTTACGCAATTTTCCAAAACTTGAAACGTAGCATTCGTAATCTTCTTTTCCATCAAGATTCTCTTCAATTAAGCAAGCGGGTTTAATCTTATCGCTCATTGTAATCTTCTTTTCCAACTTTAAGAGAGCTATATTATTCTTATAGTATAAACTGCTATATTGTGGGTGTTGTATAAATTTTACGCCTCTGTAAATTTTTCCCCTATATCTCTTAGAAGATCCAACAACAATTTCGTATTCTGAATTTCTAGGATTGAACGAATAGAACACATAGACTAAAGTGTAAAGATTGAGAATAACTTACAAGTCAGCTTGACATTCCGCAGCAGTTAGGATAAATTCTTCATGAACAATTATTCCTTCGCATGTACTGCTTTTCGTGTCACTTTCCCCTATAAACCATACCTTTAAATGCGTTTATTATAGTATTTTATACTATTTTTGAAGTAGTGCATAGAAATTTATCAAACCTGCCATGGAAAATCAGTTATAGAAGTATTTACTCCTTTAATATTACCGCTCCTACCGCAATTCTGTTTATTGATGCCTGAAAAGAAGCCGAAAGAATACATTTTTATAGTATAGTCGTTTAAATAAAAATGGTAAACAGCGTTCACCTATTGCTGGTGTACTGCAAGGTCCTTCGGTTATTTTAATCTCATCGAAAGCGATATCTCCAGTATATCCTTTATAAAAAAATCCATAGAACAGCAATTTTTGAATCTGTTTACAACAATCACAACACAATAAAGTATGTTTGTAATGTTCTGTACTTACAACTATTTCAGAGGAAGTGCCATTGATTGTATGTGAAAATATCATCCATTCTAATCCTTGATTTCCTTGTTTTTCGAGAAGAGTTTCATTTTTAACTATTGTCCTTTTATCTTTATCTAAACTGATCAAAGAGACAAGAAATCGACCCATATCCTCTCCATACATATTATATATAAATGATAGGCAAACTTTTCTATTGAAATAAACAATTGGAGATTCTAGAATAGCGAATGCTGACGTATCAGCATAGGTAGCTTCGAAATAGACAAAAGGACCATAATATGTCTCTTGCGGCCCAGTATTAAGTGAAGGTGTTTTTGTACCAATCAACCATTGAAAAGCTTTCTTTCCATGTGAATAATTACAAAATCCTTTGTCAAATGAACATTCCAATTTTTCAGGAGAATATTCTATTGTTCAATCAATCAATCAATGGAAAATTAGGAGAGAAAAAGTGAGAAATTACTTCTAATACTTACTATTAACTATAGGTTTTGCAGTTGAAATTGAATCAGTTTTTGTGCTCGATCTACCTGATAAAATCGTTTATGTTATTATTTCAACATGTAGAAGAGTATCAAACGCGAAATTATTTACTGTCCGCTGTAGGTCTTATAGGTGGTATTGTTCGTTCTGGTCTTGAATAACAGTTTACCAGTCGAAGTTCATCGATGGCGAATGAGTAAATACTGAACCATTTACATTCTTGTTCAAAAACGATCTATAAACAATTTTTCATACATTTAATCCTTTGTAAATCTGTTTTAATATAAAGATTACACTATAGTTTCCAACAGGTAGATCAACTATTCTCTTAATCCATCCACTTCCACTTGAGCTAGGATTATCCAACAGCAGGTTTTCTTCATTCCCCTTACCTTTCGTATAGATTTTTATACCGTTTGCAACATTATTGCCACTTATAGAGTAAAAGAATGAAAATGTACATCCTGTCATATCGATTGTTAATAGAGAACTCTGGAAGCTCCTAATGTCTCCATTCTTACAAAAATACGAGCTAATTTGTGCAAAATGTCCTTTAAATGATATACAATATATTAATTTGAGTGAGCGATGGAAATTATATAACTACCTGTTTTGCTTACATCCTGATAAGGTGGCAAATAGTGTATAGTAGGATCGTTTATTTTCCAGCCACTTCCGTTACTTTGCAAAGCATATTGACAGAAATTTTTCGAATCAAAGTTACAATCCAACTTTTGTTGTAGCAGCAGTTTCCAAGGAGCTACAGTTACTTTATCATGTAGAACTACGACGAATAGAAGAAATTAATCTCTTTCATTTAAATAAATTATATTGGAAACATACCAGAACAATTGTTTATTTCAATGTTGTCAATAGCCACTATCGAATCATTTTGAGCGACTTTTTCAGCTTTGATAATGAACTATGAAAGGTATAGTACAGTATAGTATATATAAATTTATATATTCTTCAAACCTGATCGAGATCCTTGGGAAACGTCAGTATCCGTGTAGTCCATTTGTTGTAATCTGAATAACTTACTGAAAAGACTTGAACGTTTGAAACACGGTTATTCTTCATTTTATAAATGTATAGTTTGTCAACGAAAGAAGATATGAGAAGATTGAATTTTAAACATAGAGTATTCCATTTAAAGCTTTTAAAATTGAATTTCCTTGAATATATATAAGTTTCTTTGATAATTGAACTATTTAGTTTAGCGTACATGCATTTTCCTGAAAGAATTGTTATTATTATTACTATCGTCATTAAAGAGCGTTAATTCATTGAGTAAGAATGTAACCTGTATTGTTTACAGGCGATGGCTTTAGCTCTCCTCTACGAAATTTGTAAATCATTAAATCATTTGGTACAAATGATTTGAATGAACAATCATTGCTCTCAAAGTTACAGCGCCAAGAAACATCCGAATCTGCCAATAACCCTGAAAGATAATGACTCATCAATAATATAATAATTAGATAAGCAAATAACAACTAACCTTCGGCGATGGAAAGCAGATATATAAAATATAGAAGAAAAAGCGCTAATCTTCCATTCATTTCAAAAAGAAGCTGTTTTATGCTTTTGAAGGAGAAAAAGTAAATTTTCTTTAAAGATACTCTCCTATCAGCAGTTTTATAAAAAATGTAAAATATCTACTTTCTTTTTTAAGAATGAGCTTTCTAATATGAATAAATTAGCATAATAATATGAATATTTAAATGAGTCATAAAAACCAAAAAAGGAAAGTAAAAACAATTAGCTCTAGTAAGTGCAACGTCAATGACTTTGAAGAAGCTGTTTAAGATTGTCCTTGATTTAAGGCTTAAACGAATGATCACCAATGAAAAAACGGTAATGTAATGATACGAGGGATGAGTTTCCAATTAAGGGAGAACTTAATAACATTCCTAGCAGTCATTAAACCCTTATTACTATTATTCAACATTATTAATAGTAGTATATACTTGTCAATGAACTGTAATACAGTCAGGAAAAACTAAATAATCGCAAATATCTACTGTGATCGCAGTTCTTCTACTCATAGAATAGTTGACGATTTCGCAATATACAGCATTCAACCATTTCGTAGGCTACATAGAACATTCTCACTATTCAAAGATTTATATATCATTGTAATTCAAATATTGTATTTCTTAGCTGAATTTTTTTTCAAATATGTGTCACATCAAAGAACAGTGAAGCGCATCGATTTGTGATATGATTAACCAAGCCGAGTAAAATAGAAAAAAAAGAAAATGTCCTCTTTAAATGCCAAGGTAAAACTACTTTAGACGAGACATGACCCGTCGTTAATTTGAATTCCATCAAAAGAAATATCACCTCTGTAACCTCTGCCATAGAGACCCATGAAATTCAATTTTATGTGCTGTATCAACAAAAAATAGTTCTTTATCAGTTTCTTTTAAGGAAAACAACAAATGTTTAATACTTACAGCTATTTGTGGAGAATTACGTATAGTATATGAAAATCTAATCCATTCCATTCCTTTATTTCCAATTTCGTTCAGAATTGTTTCATTTCTAATTATTCTACTATCAGTTTGATCAAAAGTGATAAGGGAGACGAGAAATCGACCGGTATGACTTCCATACATATTATACATAAATGATAAGCAAGTCTCTTTATCGAAATAGACAATGGGAGACTCGAGTAGGGAAAAATAGCCTCTAGTTGCCGTAGTTGCTTCAAAATACACAAAATTTCCAGAATATGGTGCTTGCGGACCAGTGTCTCTAGAAGGAGTTTCTCTGCCAATTAACCATTGATAGTTTGTAGAATTTTGGTAATAATTACAAAAGTCTTGCTCGAATTGACACTCCAATAACTTTGGAGAAGGTCCTGAACAAGATAACAGTTGAACAAGTGTAAATTTTACATTCTCTTGAATATCATCAACAATACTATACCTGGTCTTACTGTTACACTAGACGTTTCTCTGGTTGACCTAGCAGACCCAGGACAGGAACCATAAGAAATGGTAACTTCATCAAACGAAACATCACCTTTATATCCTCTTCCGTAGAAAGCATAAAAATTTAATTTTCTAGGCTATATCAGTAATTAAAAAACAAAGTCCTAGTTCTTTCATTAGTCTCAATGCTTTAAACTTACTCTTATTTGTGGATAATCATTAATTGTATGTGAAAATCGAATCCAATCAGTTCCTTTATTTCCAATTTCGTTAAGAATTGTTTCATTTCCGATTATTCTATTTTCATTTTGATCAAGAGTGATAAGAGAAACGAGAAATCGACCAATATGACTTCCATGCATATTATACATAAATGATAAGCAAGTCTCTTTATCGAAATAGACAACGGGAGACTCTAGTAGGGAAAAATAGCCTCTAGTTGCCGTAGTTGCTTCAAAATACACAAAATTTCCAGAATATGGTACTTGTGGACCAGTATTGCTAGAGGGAGTTTCTCTGCCGATTACCCATTGATGAGTTTGAGTACTTTGATAATAATTACAAAAGTCTTGCTCGAATCGACACTCTAAGAGTGTTGGTGAATTTCCTGTTGTAAGCAATCAAAATTATAAGGAATAGAAAATATCTAAAAGGTAAATTCTAACTGTTTGGAGTTGGTCTTGGAGTTGAGAGAGAAGGTGATTGGCAGTTATGTGTAGTTATTTCATCAACAGCAATATGAGATAACGAAAGAATAGTACATTTCCCTTCGAAAATCAACTGAAAAAAGCATCAGAACAAGTTCAATTTATCTAAGAATGTAATTAATTAATGAGATGAATTTACCTCATATTCTCCAATTGGTAGGCTAATGTCTTCGGTAAGCCAACTTTCTCCTTGAGGACCACGCTTTTCTACTAATACTTGTTGTAGATTTTCTTTATTGTTTGTATAAACTGTTAAAGTTCCAACATTTTCGCCAGACATGTGATAGTAGAATGAAAGTTTGCATCTAGGGTTGGTTACTATTATTGAAGAACTTTTTAAATAAACCCTATCTCCTTCCCAACAAACGAATGGTCCAGAATGCAAATAATATCCTATAATCATTACTTCTCTATCAGATTTATGTTATTAAAATTGATACTGATATATATATCTTACCATTTTTGCTTACATCTTGCTCAGGCAATCCGTAGAAAGAGTGTTGTGGGTTGCTTACTGTCCAAGCGTAATTATCAATTCGATTCTGAGAGCTTCTTAGCAATTCATACTGGCAAGTAGTGCTCGAGTCGAAATTACATTGTAATATTGAATCTATATTCGTTGACGATGGAGGTGTTGAAGATGAATCAGCTGTTAAAAGAAAGCTTATGCATGAATGCTATTAGATGAAAATATCTATATAATTAACCATAACAATCATTAAATTCCATATTATCGATAGCTATTATTGAAGTCGCCGAATTTTTACGAGAGCTCTTAATCATGATCTAAAGAATTTTAGTATTTTCATTCAAAAGTCTTTGTTTAACTGATTACAATATTGAATTTTATAATCAAACCTCGTCTACACTCTGCGAAAGATAATCCGTCTTTTCTATCCATTTAAATATTTCATGTGAATATTTCATTGAAAAAGCTCTTTGCTTAACAATTTGATAATCCTTTAGGAAGAAGACAAACAATTCATCTTGACCATTACTCATGAGAATATTGAATTTGAAGCATAATTTCCCAATATTTCTTGGAATATTCAATTTACTCGAAAACAAGTAGGCCTCTTCCAGATGAGAATTAGTCTTGCGTGCGTACATACAATTTTCTAAAACAGGAATAAATGAATAATGCTTTCACCCTACAATAGAATCTTTTTTAAGATAAATCGTCTACTTACCAGCCCTTTCTGGTGTTTTTAGATTTCCTCTTTCAAACTTGTAAACCTGGAATTGATCTGGTACATTTGATTGAAATGAACAATCATCATTTTCAAAAGTACACTTCCAATAGATCCTCTGACCTAATTTTTCAATATCAAATGAATGTACATATTAAATAAATGGATATGTCATTAAACTAACCAAAGACAATTGAAAGTATAGTCGTGATGAATATGAAAATGGTCAATTTAGTCTTTTCACTCATAATCCTTTCAAAAGTATGAAATAACTATGAAGCTTTATGATATAAGGAAAGATATACGTAGAGTATCTGTGAAGTTCTCTTGAAATGAAGGCTAATTTCGTTAAAAATAGCTTTTTATAGCTAACAAAAGAACTCTTTCATTCCTTACGGTTAACTATTAAAAAACAGGAAGATTAACCATTGAATATAATAATCATTCGTACTTTCGTTTTCTTAAATTATATTTAGAAAGCCGCTGGTTAATTGCTTCATTGAATCTATCAAAACGGTTAGACCGTGACAGTCCTTTTAAATAATTGTCAAAAACATATGTTGAAACCAACTCATTTTAAAGTATTCATCTCAGGGAATTTCCCTACTATCAGCCAACCAATTTAATACTATATCACTAAGGCACATTCGTATCAATCGTAATCAGCTTAAAAAACATCCTACAATAGACTATTGTTAGTATTCTATCCATTATTCCCTATTACCTTCTTATAGATGTTTGTGAATGTGATTTATGAATGTTTTAATAAAAATATAGTGTATTCAAAATTTTTGAATTATTACAGAATTTTCTTTTCCGATAATACAAATATTACTTTTGCAAATGATAATGTCTATCAATAACACTGCTCTTCTCTTTTAATTATATCAGTTATCCATTTATAGTGAGGTGCAGCCTGTGCAAAAACTGTAATACCACCTTTACATCCGGCCAAACCCCAACTTACAACTCCGAATGAGTGCCATTTATCATTTCGTTTACAGGACAAAGGACCACCGGAATCGCCCTAGAAGTAAAAACAAATGATGCTATGTATAAAACGGCTAAAGAACCAAGGAGATTTCTACCTTGCAAGCCTGTGAACTGCTGGAGGCAACTCCTATTCCGCATACCATTTCAGGATATGTTGCAGTTGTAAAGGTGTATTGCATTAAGGTAGACTTGCAGCTTCTTTCAGTAACAATATTTTGCTTAGTCTTCATTAAAACAGAACTTGTTGGAGATCCATCTAATAATTGTCAATATTTATTTTGTCTTCATATTAGAAAGATGCTACTGCTTACCTGCTCCACTTGTCCTGCCGAATCCAGAAACGTGACATTCGTAGCCCTCGCTACCATCTAAAATCTTGTCGGGGAGACATGCGGTGTTGATTTTATCTGTCATTTTGACCGTAGAATTCAACTTAATGATTGCAATATCATTAAGATGTCTTGTAGGTTTGTTATATTGCTCATGTTTGAATGCGACAGAGCTTTTGTAAACTGTTCCTTTGTATTTATTTAAAGATCCCAAGAAAATGCTATAATCTGCAGAGCTAGGAACAATTCACATATATTACTCCAAAAATTATATAAGAATATAAAAAAAACCATCTTACTCTTTGATACAATGAGCTGCTGTTAAGATGAATCTTTCGTGGATTAAAACTCCACCGCATAGATAATAATCCCCAGCAACAGCAATGGAAACACTTGCCTAGATTTTAAAAAGAGAATAAATAGTAAAATGATCAATGGATCTTTTAGTATTAATTCATATATGCCGCTTTTCCTCTAAATTTACCTGCCAAGGAAATTCGCCATCTAAAGCTCTCTCTCCTTGAATTATAAAGGACGAACTGAGTCTCTTGCCACAATTTGCATGATTTACACCAACTTTTACAAATGCAGTTTCTATAGTGAAATTTTCGGTTTAAATTCAAAGATATCTATTTTTGAATATAAGAAAGACATACCATTCTTAACCTTATGGCATTCACCGTTCTTCAAGACGAAATCATCAAGTGTAATTACAGATACATTCATCCTTTTGGTAGTTGAAAGTTCAATACGGAATTGTTCAACATCACTTTCCAAATCGATATTTACTGGCAGATTTGAATTTTGATTCATGCATAATTTACTACTTTCCTCCATCAATTCCGAGATTTTCCTGCATGCGTAAAAATCACTATAGAACATGTTTTACATTGAAAGAAACATGTCTACCTGAAAGAACTCGATCCTCTCTTCTTTACGTGGAAATTCAGCAGTGGATCTCCTTGACTCTGGATCATATTTGATTTCGTTTTCTTTGCTAGTTTTAGCGATAAACACTTTTTCGAATTGAATGATGTGATTAGAGGAGACTGAATCGATATTGCAGATGTTGCCGATTTGGCTTCAACACCTCCGATGTGCATAACTTTATCTGTAGGAAATCAGAGTCACGGGTATTAATGGAAAAGAGACAAAGTCGTCTATGAACTGTCCTACTTGAGGATTCGTCATCCCGTCTAGTCCACTCCAGGGGACTCATTAAGTCTTGAACAAGCGTATAGCCACACATATGATTCTGGAAATTGCAGTTGACCGATGAGGCTAATTTTGAAAATGACGTTTAAATGAGAAAAACGAGTTTAGATTCGTTCAATTCGTATAAATTGCATAGAATACTGACTTTGGCTGGCAACTGGAAATATCACTCTATCGTTTGATTTGCAAGTTCCCGAGCTAATTATCAAATTATCAATTGCTACATCACTTTCAAACGTATAACCTCTAACTGCCTTGAATACTATTTTATAGCTAGTGAATGATGTTTGAATTTCTTGATTTATCCAAGAATATCCTTTATTTCCTTTTTCGCTTTTTACGTGATGTAAGACACCATTATTCTCTAAATAAATGAGCAGTGAACCTCCTGTGTCATCATGCGAAGTTAACATGTGATAGTGGAATGAGATACAGCTGACTCCATTCATTTTAAAAAGGCTAGACTTCATAACTGCAACACTGGAAACTGGTGCGCTGGTAGCTTCAGTATAGATGTAATAATCTAGCCAAAAAAGAAGTCACATTAAAGATTTGACGCTTTTTAGGTATAAAAACGAAAATCTCGGTAATTATCTTACTTCCTTCAAAAGCGTATTCAGGTCCAGTTCCAATTGATGGGGTTCTAGTATTTATTCTTTTAAAAGCCCATATTGAATTGTCGGAAGTCATAGAAAATCCACAATCGTCATTTTCAAATGTACACTTATTTACGGCACTATCGTTGCATTTTCCTTGTAATAATGATATGTCATCAATTGCAATATCTCCTCTATAATCCCCATCAGAGGTTGCTTTAAGAATGATCTTTAAATAAATATACATTATGGATTGTTTGTAAATTTTCCAAAAGATGAACTTATGTAAATCTTACTTGATTGATATTATCAGAGGACTTTAGCGTCATAAGAAGACGATTCCAGCGGTCTCCTATGCTGGTATCTTGATTAAATAATAACTTTCTACCAGACGATTTAGTATTTACAAAAATCTCGAATATTCCAATTGATAAAGAGGATCCATACATATGATAATAAAGTTCCATACAATAATCTTTATTATTTAGGTTCACGAGTGGAGATTTCAATTCAGAATAATCATTGCTCTTACTGCCGGTTGCTTCGACGTATATATAGTAACCTTGAATACCTTTCGTATGATCCACGCTTGGTCCAGTGTTGATTGATGGTGTTGATCCAGTCTCTCGCTTCCAAATGTACGTATTTGATGAGATAGACGCAGTTGCTTTCCACAAACACATATTTGTCTCAAAATCACATTTTAGATTATCTATTGAACGTAGAATTATGAAGATTAACGAAAATTAGACGAAAGATATGAAAGATTACAAACCAACAGAAACGCTCGAAGACGTTGGCCTAACTGTTGGGGAAGTTAACAAATTCGCTTGCGTTGAAGTTGAATGTGGCAATTTATCATTACAAGATTGAAATCGAACGCGAACTTCATCAAACGATATATCTCCTCTGTATCCGCTTCCATAGAAACCGGTAAAGAACAACTTTCTGAACTGCGTAATAATGGAAAATGATTAATAATTAACTCTTTATCTTCACTTTTTACAATAGAATATGGAAAATAAACAAACCGTTTGTTTGTTTTCATTATGTATTGTATAAGAAACAATTTTCCATACGTTTCCCTTATTTCCACTTTCGTCAAGAATTGTTTCATTCTTTAATACTGTTCTTTCATCTTGGCCATAAGTAACTAGAGATACTACAAAACGACCCATATCTTTTCCATACATATGATAAGCAAACGACAAACAACACGTTGAATTGAAATTAATTATAGCAGATTCCAAAATGGCTATATTGGATCGAGATGAGGATGTTGCCTCGTAGTAGACAAATTTTCCTGAATGTGGGGCTTGAGGACCAGTTGAACTAGACAGGGTGTAATCTGCAATCCTCCACGAATATGTTGCTTTTGGACTTGTATAATATTCGCAAAAATCTCGCTCAAAGCTACATTCCAGCATTTTTGGTGACATCGCTTTAGGTTTTTAAGGAGAGAAAATAGATTCAAAATAAGGTTTTAAGCAATAAAATATATAATATAATATTTAATTCATTACGTGACATAGTAGGCTTTAACGTAGAAGAAGGCGAACGGCAAAAATCAACAGAGATATTATCAATAGCCATGTCTCCTTTGAAGGATCTTTTGCATATTCCGCTAAAAATGAGCTTTAAAGATATTCTTTTATTACTGGTAACAAATTAATTTTTAATAAAACCATTTATTACTTGATATTGTCCAGGTGGAAGTAACATTGTCTTTTTTATCCATTGGAGACCTTGATTGCCACTTTTCGTCATTAAAGTAGAAAATGTCTTGGACGTTATATGATAAATGCCAACATTAAACATCCCCATATCGGATCCATACATATGATAATAGAACGATAGTTGGCAAGTTAAGTGTTTCAGTGTTATAACAGGACTAGTAAAGTTAGTTACATCCCCTTGTTTACAAAAGGAAGCTTCGGTATATAGAAAGTATCCTAGAAAATTCAATTATTCTATTAGAACGGAATATTTTCTAATGGGAAAAGTGATTTTTACCAGTTTTGCTTACATCTTCTCTTGGTCCAGTATCTATTGATATCCTCCGATTACTTAGAGACCAAACAAAAGTATTACTCGACAATGATTTAGTTATCTTGTATTGTCCATAATCAAATGAGTCGAAATTCGTATTTAATATCTTAGCCAAGTTTGACTTGTTGGTTATTGCTGTTTGAGTTGTAGAGGTAGTTGACCGAGTTGTAAAGGCAGCTGGCACAGTTGTAGAACTAGGCATAGTTGGTGTGGTCATTCGGGTTTTAGTAGTAGATGAATGAAAACAATCGTGAACAGTTATTTTATCAATTGCAACGTCTCCACGATATCCAGTTCCACAAGTTGCAATAAAAGTTAACTAGAAACATAATAGAGTTTCATTGAGAAGTAAAATTATAGTAATTCATTGATAATTAACAAATATTATCTAACCTGGTAATAGCCAGCATTTTGAATTATAAGCGTCTCTTTTATCCAACGATCCGTTAGTAAATCGTCTTTTAGGATAGATTTGGACTTAAAAAGTCCAAAAATATCGCTTGCAAGCACCTCCAAACCTCCAATTTGACTTCCGTACATATTATAAAAGAATGAAATACACGTTGAAGGGGTAAAAAAAAAAGGGCTCGTTAAATTGGTTACATCATTCCTGTTGCATGACGACGCTTCAGCAAATGCAAATTTACCTGTAGTTCATTATATAAAACGTCTATAGTTTGTAATTGTTGAATATATGTAAATAATGTTGAACCTATTCCATCAACAGGTTTGGACGGTCCTGTGTTCCATGACGGTGTCTCACTACCAGTTGTCCAAAAATAACTTCTGGCGCTGGTGGAAGAATTTGTAAATGAACAAAAGTCTCCTTTATCGAATGAACAAGGTATATTTTCTATTTTTGTTGTATGTGGAGTAGTAGGCTTCAATGTAGGAGTGGGAGTAGCAACTAAGAAAAACACGATGATTAATATAGAAAGTTCTGTATACAGTATATTTCCACGTACAAAAACAATCGTACAACTCTATATCGTCTATAGCTAACGTATCCTGACTTCCAATATATCTTTCGGCTTTTATAACTAACTATTAAATGAATAAATTAAAAATGGTTGAATTATTTTTTTTTAAAAAAAAAAAGGAAAGAAAACCTGATCGATAGGATCGTTGAAGGTAATGGAATGTTGTTGCCATTTTTGTGTTTGGGAAGGATTTGCGTAAGAACCATCTCTCGATACAACACTTCCATTTATAAGACCATAAATTTGAATTTGATCTGCATTATCACCTATCCAAGTGTAATATCTTAAACATAATGTTCCCATTTCCTTTGGTTTGTTGAATGTAGGCGAAAATAAAAAGGCTTCCTGATCGTATAGATAACGGGGCTTAGCGTACATGTATTTACCTATAGGGAATACATAATAGAACCGAATAGCTTATATCTTAAGGTTTGTTTCTTATACTACCATTTGGTCCTGTTCTATCTGAAATATTTGTTGAACCTCTTTGAAATTTGTACAAAGAGATACCTTGATGAATATTTGAAGTAAATCGACAATCATCCTTGTTAAAATCGCATTTCCACAAATGACTTTTACCTTAATTTCAATAAGATATTAATTACATAATACATGATAATAAAAAAAAATAAGACAAACCAGATATCAACGAAGGAGCGAGGAAGGATAAGATAAGGATAAAGTAACAGTTGACTTGAAATTTGATCATTGTATTTCAAGAGTCGAGATTATTTTTAGTATAACTATGGTAAACTTGAATTTTCAACAATTTAAAGTAAATAGTTGAAATTTCTCTCTTCTGGAAAGGTCAAAAATTAGATCATTCTAGGAAAACAGTATGGACTTTTTTTCAAAGTTGATATGTGAATTTCAAACGAGAGGAACAAATTTCAATTTGGAGAAGCGGAGACAGTAATGCGGGAGAGAAAGTGTCCACAGTGACGTAGAGAGAGATTGATACTACGAAAATATGTTATAGCTTTGTGTACTTGCTTTTAGGCAGGCCGAAGTTGGTCAGATTATACCTAAGATCATGATTCATAAAAGCCCATAGGAACGTGTGTCATCAGTCTACTTCGATCAACCAACCAATCGACCAGCTAAGCGACCGACCGAGCAACCACCTATTCATATACTCATTCCATTCATTCATTCGTTTACTCTTTCAATTCGTTCATTCGTTCCTCGATAGTTCAATCTATTCAATTTTATTTTCATTAAAATCTTTAATATTTTCGTCTTTGTTTACAAAAACGAAAATTACTTTTTTAATTAAATAATTTATTTTCTATTCAATTTTTTCTTTCATCTCTTCCTTTTATTCATTCGTTTATTCATTCATCCTTTCAATCATTCATCCAGTTTCTCTCTCTCTCTCTCTCTCTCTCTCTCTCTCTTATCCCTTTTGTATTCATTTTTCTTATCATTCAATTTTCTGAATTTTTTGTCTATTGAAGATTTATTCCTTTGTCTTCCCCTCCTGCTCAATCTCTTAAACCGGTCTTTTCTCTATTGATAATATCACGAGAATTGTGGCCTATCGTTTTTCTAGGAGAAAGAAACTATGTTTTACCTTTCTATTTGATATCTAGGCTTAAAAAACCTACGTTTCATAAAATAAATACAAAGTCTATGGTAATCTTAAAGAAACTAAAGTAACAAGAAAACGTAGTGCGTGAATAACGATTTTTTAAAAGATTCTCTAAGTGCACTTTGCCGCTATTTCATTTATCAAATATCGTTATTTAATTTAACCAGAATTCATATTAAACGAATAGTATAACAAGTTCTACTTAAATCGAAAAGTATATAGCTTCCCACGTGTTTTAATATTACAAAAAGTTGAATGAAAATAATATCCATTTTTATTTCAGTGCTTTTTTAATGAAAGATAGAAAAAAGAAAGCCTGCTTGAATACATTTCATACGTAAACATAAGAAATCATTAGAGATATATATTAGGATCAACCTGAAAGTTTTAACCGTTTCCCTGTAATTTTAAAATAGTACATTGTAGGCCTATGTTATCATTATTAATAAAAAGTGAATTCATTAATGCAAGTTATTTCAATCGATATTCACAGGCAACTGAAAGCTTTTTTTGGAAACATGGGTATTCTATCATGAACCATTGACTAAAAGAGCTTCTTTAGAGTATCATACAAAGTTTTCTCCACTACCAAAAAAGGTTAAGACAGGTAAGTCTGCAGACAAACTGATGGCATGTGTGTTTTGGGACAGGGGATATCTTAAAACAACTGGATGGGTAGTCTTGCCTCATCCAGCCTACAGCCCAGACCTGGTGCCATCAGACTATTATCTTTTCTGGAAATTAAAGGACCATCTTCGGGGTGAAATATATGAGAATGATGAGGAATTGCAAAATGCAGTAAAAGCATTTTTCATTTTTCGCTTGAATACTTCGCCAAAGGAATTGATATGCTTCCCGCCAGGTGGCAAACATGCACTGACAATAATGGGGAATTCAAAGCTATATAGATATATCTAAGACATTAATTAATATTTATGACTAAACATATTATGTAATTTTCTTTGTTAGCAGTAAGACACAAACGGGTAAAACTTTCAGGTTGATCCTAATATATACAGTATATATGAATTTTATACGATTATTAACATACATTTCTTTTCTACTCCCAAAGTTTATTCAACTCTTTGTTTATTTATTTATTTCTAGTATTTACCTCCGTCACGATGGCACACTTTTATGACAAAATATCTATTAAATATGTAACTACTTTTTTTTATTACAAAATAGCTGCTTTTCCGTTTTTTAGTCACTGGTTTTCGTATCCTATCCTTTTATATTGTTTGTAAAATTTTCAGCTAGAACGTCCTCCAGTCATTATCACTGACAACTGTAACATAATAAGCCAATAAGGAGTATATGGTAAATAGTCAGAAATCATTGAATGGTTTCGTTAAGCGTGAAATATGAACGAATGATAGTAATTATTCCCCCTGTAGATAAAATGAGGAAGTCATTTTTAGATGCAAATTCTTCCTGGTAAACAGTGGGGGGAAACTATGCATATTTGTATAGTAAAGGATTGTGAAATAAATGTTAGCTTAATACTTTATAAGACATGGTTGTTTTCTCCAATTTCTCATGCTCAAAGTCGCCTACAGTCCACAGATATTTCTGATTCTAAATACAATGGAAAAAGTCTGGGAAGATAAAGTCTTTCTCCTACTGTTAGCTTCCAACCGCAAAAATATCATATTCTTCTATCATTCAAAACAACTTCCCTTCGCCTTTTTGTTTTCATTTCCAGATCTTGTGTCAACTTCTGAGGAAGTTTTTCATAAATATCTCAAAATGCAGCAATCGCAAGAATCTGATAGATGGCATTACTGCGCAGAATTGAGCCGACTTTTATAAGATTATTGAGTATATGATAAAAGACGAAGAGAGAGAGAGAGATCAGCACGATTTTCTTTTTTTAATAGAATAATACAAAATTTTATCATGTCTCTAATAGCAACCATAAAAAAGTCATTACATTTATTTAAAAATACAGTTTGGACATGTTCAAGGGAAGTAGGAGGGCCTTGTTTACATAAAATAACATTTGAAAAAGGTATATAGAACATGCTTAGGAAGCAATAAAGTTCTAATCATTCAGCCTTTATTTTTTCTGAGTCATACATACCATAGATTTTTTTAACAATGATAAATAAACGGGAAAAAAAGAACAACCTTCGTTTCAAAAATATGAATGTTATTGTCTCTTCTCCTCTTTCAAAGTTCTCTCTTACTACTCATTGCTTTGATAGTTGCAATTATAAAATTCAAATAGCTGCCTCTTAGTTGATTAAATGTTGATATGTTTCTTTTGCTTTTTCTATAATTCAATAATAATCCGGAAATTGTCCATTTTTCATTGATTTTGCAAGATAGAATAGCTTTGTTGGAATCCTAGTATAAAATAAGATGACTCAATATTACTGTTATAGAAGAGAATCTTTATTAAAATACCTTTTGTGAGTCTTCTGAACTGTTAAGAGGTAAGGAGCAAATCTTTGGAAAATGATTACTACTCTTTGTAGTTCCATTCAAGGTCAAGTTCAATAATGATAAGCAATACTTTTCATCTAATAATTGAACTTTTTCCACACTTGGTATATCTTTACTTGAATTGCTAATACCAAAACTAGAAGTAATGCAATTATAACTTGTACCATTAGTGATTGTTGCTCCATTCAAACAAATAGTATTTATTTTATCATCTATTGATACCTTATTATCTAATTTAATTAGAGCAATACTCTCGTTAGAAATTTGGGGATAATTGGGATGAAAGAATACAGATTTCCCATTAAATCGTTTATAAGAAACTGAACGATTCAAGCCCAAGATAACTTGAAAATGATTTTGTCTAGGAATAAAAAACAACAACAATTCAAAGACTTTCTTTCTTATTTCGTAACGATAATAGAGAAAGAAAGATTTTCTCCAGACTTACTTATCAATACATTTTGCGTCTGTTAGAACAAAACTTGAATGAATTAGAATTCCTTCGCAATGATTCTCTGAACGTCTATTTTTAGAATAAATATTCACCTGAAAGGGAATAGAGAACTAATTAGAAATACATAAAGTGTTTATTAAAGTGTTCTTTTTATTTAACCTGCCATGGAAATTCCTCTATGGCGGAAGATGATGATGATGCTACTGTTGAGGAGGAGAAAAATGAAAAAGCTGCAGAAGAATTATAAAAGATTTTCCCACAGTCGGGTTGATTTAGACCTATTTTATTCAAGTCTGTATAATAATAAAAGGGTATGATTATAGTTTTTATAGTTAAAAAATGCTTAAAGTGTAGTATATATAGATATATTTTACTGGGCGATCATAAAGTCACATCACTTTTTTTTACAACAGATATAAAAAAATAAATACACAACACACAGCAATAGATTTCCTGTTGTTGTTATTCTTTTCAATTTCCTTATTGAAAGAAGAACAGAGGAGCTTTTTTTCAACATTTTTTTTAAATTATATTGTATATTGAACATGCTTAAATCTAGATCTATTGTGCGAAATCTGTAAAGTTTTTTAAAGAGTTTTAACCTAAGTCATCGAAGGAGGATGTAGAACTTTTTTCGTATTTAAATGGATTATTCTCGAAGGGCGATTCGCATTGACTATCGTTATTATTACAACCAATTCCATTATCTATAAATGATATTTTGTTATTAAAATTTCCATTCCTTATTCACTTACCTCTTAGTGGATAATATATAAACTTTTCCCTACAATTGCCCAGCTGTTCGTTAATGAAATCTAAACCAATTCGATTTTGATTAGATAATCCTTCTACTGCTTTAAAAGTTATCTGAAATATTTCCTTGTCTTTATTATTAATTGTTAATCGGTAATCGTTATCAATTTAGCTTTTAAACCTCGTAGAATGGTACCGATATCTCGATCTGTTGTTTTTTCCATTCGTTACTTGTAGACTTTAACATAGTAACCAATTGATAAGTACCGGTAATACTTTCTCTTAAGTAAACATTCAATTTACTACTACTAGCAGTAGGTGTAGAAGGTTTTTGAATGAAATAATAGAATGAAATACACGCAATTCCTCTTAGAGTTCGAAATCCTGCTGATAATACAGCAATTCGAGAGAATGACGATTGCGGTGAAGGAACTATTCCTAGGTAATAATCTGTTGACCCGATATAAATTTGAACGTATGAACCTCTATTCAGAGAGTTTAATTAGTTTAATTACCCCCGTGATAAGGTTGAATAGGTCCACCTCTATCACTTTGAATCCTTGCAAATTCCCACGATTTATGGTAGGAGAATAGTTGATAATTACACAAATCTACCTCGAAAGAACATCGTTGAAGAAGACTAACATCTTGACAATTGCCTTCTTCAACATATATATTATCGATAGCTATATCTCCTTTATAAAATCCTTCCGAAGTTGCCTTGATAACAATCTGGTCAATTTGTTTGTTAGATTTTAAATCTATTGTACGTTGAATCCAAAAATTTCCCATACTTTTATTGTTTTTAAAGAGAATATCCTTTAAAGTACCTTCTTTAAAAGTCATAATTTCCAATTGTCCAATTCTCTCTAAAGATCCAAACATATGATAGGAAAATATTAGGCAATAATCCCTCCTATTCATATTAAATATTGGCGATTTTAGCTCGGAATAGAAACCTCGTTGACTATTTGACGATTCGACGAATATATAATATCTGTTGCCATACAGAGAATCTTTAGTTGGTCCTGTACCTTGAGAAGGGGTTTCCTCGTTCAATCTGGTCCATATGTAGTTATTGAAAAAGTAATCTGGACTTTTATTTACGGTCCAACGACAGAAATCCACCTCAAAATTGCAATTTAATTGTTCATCTATAGGGTAGAGGAAAAAGGAAAAGAGGATCAGGAACAGAAGAGAAAGAAACGTTTAGTTCAATACTTACTTGGGCTTTTTGTTTGTTCTAAACAACGTCCTTTAACAACTGATACATCATCAAGAGCTATATCACCCTTATAACAACCAGCCGATATTGCCTGAATTACAATCTATAGAGAAAGGAACGATAATCTTTCTTTTTAATAATCTTTAATCATGTTAAACTTGCTTGATCGATATTATCTTTTGGTTTTAAATTAATTGAAATTTCATTCCAACTATCTCCGATATTTGACGAATTTGAATAGAAAAGTATACGCTTTTCTTCATTACTATAACCGGAAATTGATAATTTACCAATTGAAATATTCGAACCAAACATATAAATGTATAATCTTAAGCAATAGTTAAAGTTATTCATTTTGAATATAGGCGATTTTAATTCGGCTATATGATTTCTTTTACTAAATGACGCTTCAACGAAAACGTATTTTCCGGTTTTATTATTAAAAGTATGATCATTACTCGGTCCAGTATTTAACGAAGGTGTTTTCCCACTATTTAACATCCATTTATAATCATTATCAATCGACTTTGGATAATGAGTTGTCATCCAATAACAAAAGTCCTTTTCGAAAGTACAATTCAGATATTCTAGGAAGAATATTGAGACATATATGTCAGATAAAGAAGGAATATAATAGACTGACCGTCGGGTGGTTTCAACGGTAAAGCAAACGGAGGTTTAGTACCTTCGATCTCTCCTTTGGATATGATAAAGATATCAATTGTATATATATATATATATGTATATATATATAAATACAAAAGATGGAAATACCTTCACAATCATTTATTTCAATATCATCAATTGCGATTACACCCACATTTGTTTTGGATTTCTTTATATAAAACATCACCTAAAAGAGGAGGATAGTGAGAGATTGAATTCATCTCATTTTTGCTCTTTATAGCCTACTTGATCAAATTCTTTTGTCGCTTCAATAATTGAACTTTTCCAAATCTTCTTACGATTATTCGAACCATATATTAACTTACTTTGAGTAATATGTCCGTGTCGCAATAGAAAAACAAATAACTCACTCTTATACTGATCAATCATATGATAGTGTTGAACGCATACTCTGTTCATTTTGTTTCCATTTAGAAAGATGATTGGTGAAATAATAAAAGTTTCATGAATATCATTAACTGTATTAACAGTATGCATATAATTTCCTGAAAGTTATTCAATTTAATTAGCCAATCATCTAATTGCAATAAAAAGATATTACAATTACCATTATTATTATTCCGATCGTCTAGAGAGCTTAACGAACCTCTCGTTAATTTGAATATATGAACTCTCGCCGGAATATTGGAATTGAACGAACAATCGTTCAATTCAAAATCACATTTCCAAAATGTATCTTTACCTTTTGAAAATGAAATTCTTACATTTAATAAGTTATATATAACTTCTTTAAACTTACAAACAACTCCTAGAAATAGGAAATAAGTAGAGAAAAGTAACAGTGATTTCAGATATAAACACATAACCGGAGAGAAGCATACCATAAATCGCTTGGATATAAAGTGTCAAGTGTACGACCTCCCCCGTAGGTACTATAAAAAATTTAATGACTTCCTAATTCTTCTTTTTTCTACTTTCATATAGAGTGTGTTACAATGTTTTTCTCGTTATAACAAACATTGTCTACTGTTCAGGTTTTAACCATTAACCATTCAGTAAGTGTAAATACTATTTAGTAACACTGTACTTTCCATTCATTTATATTCTTCCTTTATCCTTTAAGCTATTATTGGCTAATTGATAATTTATTTTACTACATGATTCATTGTATTTTATAGTTAAATGGTTATATTTAAAAATTGTTATGAAACAATGAAGAATTCGTAAAAATGCCGACGTTGTTCTTTTTAATCTTTTGAATTTATTATCTTCTTTATCCATTCGTAATTTGATCCAATTTCATTGTAGAATGTCATACCAGTTGTACAATTTTCTAGGTCAGTCGTTTTAATTCCTACCGTTAGCCATCTACCATTAATTCTACACGATAGAGGACTACCAGAATCAATCTGAATATATTTAGTCTTAGGTTTATGTTCCATTTAATCAATTCAATCCATTTACATTACCTTGCAAGCTTCAATACTTTTACCGCAAATTAAATTTGAATATTTCCTTATAGAGTCGTCTCTATCGTTTGTACATTGCTCTTTTGTATTTAATTTTAACTTTCTTCTCTTAAATAATAGAGATTTCCTTGATTTTCCTGAAAATACCACGTATTAATCATACTATTACAGTATTACGATTAATCATATTCTACTTGTTTCAAAACTGGTAGTAAAACATTCCAAATATTCGACATTTAATAGACTTTGTTGGCTCAGATAATCTAGGTCTATTGTATTTATCATTTCTACGATTTCGTCCAATTTTATAATGGCAATACTTTTCAAATTTTTTAGGAACTTGGGATAATTTGAACTGGTTTTAAAAACCCTAATCCCTTTTCTAGATTCTCCTCCAATACTTCCTAAACTACCAAAAGTGATAAGGTAGTCTGCATTTCTATAATTAAACAAATCTATACATAATTATACGGTTATTTTTGTTCTATAAAGTATTAACTCTTTTAGACAAACGGCCGACGTTAATACGTATCTCTCATTAACGACGATTCCATTACAAGTTGTATTGATATTGTCCGCTGAAATTAGTATTGAAACCTGCCAACTAGGTATTTCATCCTCTAAATTCATTTTATCTTTAACCAAACCAAATAGAGTTTTATCAACTTTACCGCAATTAGGATCATCTTTACCTGTAGATTGTATCATTATATCAATTAATCTTTATTCTAAAACGCTACTTTAAATATCACCTGGTTCATTAGAACATTCACCGTTCTTCAAGATGAAATCATCAAGTGTAATTACAGATACATTCATCCTTTTGGTAGTTGAAAGTTCAATACGGAATTGTTCAACATCACTTTCCAAATCGATATTTACTGGCAGATTTGAATTTTGATTCATGCATAATTTACTACTTTCCTCCATCAATTCCGAGATTTTCCTGCATGCGTAAAAATCACTATAGAACATGTTTTACATTGAAAGAAACATGTCTACCTGAAAGAACTCGATCCTCTCTTCTTTACGTGGAAATTCAGCAGTGGATCTCCTTGACTCTGGATCATATTTGATTTCGTTTTCTTTGCTAGTTTTAGCGATAAACACTTTTTCGAATTGAATGATGTGATTAGAGGAGACTGAATCGATATTGCAGATGTTGCCGATTTGGCTTCAACACCTCCGATGTGCATAACTTTATCTGTAGGAAATCAGAGTCACGGTTATTAATGGAAAAGAGACAAAGTCGTCTATGAACTGTCCTACTTGAGGATTCGTCATCCCGTCTAGTCCACTCCAGGGGACTCATTAAGTCTTGAACAAGCGTATAGCCACACATATGATTCTGGAAATTGCAGTTGACCGATGAGGCTAATTTTGAAAATGACGTTTAAATGAGAAAAAAGAGTTTAGATTCGTTCAATTCGTATAAATTGCATAGAATACTGACTTTGGCTGGCAACTGGAAATATCACTCTATCGTTTGATTTGCAAGTTCCCGAGCTAATTATCAAATTATCAATTGCTACATCACTTTCAAACGTATAACCTCTAACTGCCTTGAATACTATTTTATAGCTAGTGAATGATGTTTGAATTTCTTGATTTATCCAAGAATATCCTTTATTTCCTTTTTCGCTCATTACTTGATTAAATTGTCCGTTTGAATCAAGATATACAATGAATGTGCTACCCAACTCATCTTCAGAAGTTAGCATATGATAATTGATCGATACGCAACTTACTTCATTTACTGTTATCAGTGTTGAAGAAAGAATGGCTACGCTTGATACAGGCGCCCTTGTTGCTTCAGTAAACATGTAGAATCCTTTAGAATTATAAAATATTAATATTTTTCATTATAGAGAAGAATGACTTCATATTTATCTTACTTCCTTCATATGCATTTTGAGGACCAGTTCCAGTGGATAACGTCTTTCCACTCCATCGTGCAAAATTCCAAATTGAATTATCGAAGGATTTTACAAAGTTACAATCATCCAATTCAAATGAACAACCACCTGAAAGTTTTAATCCAGCGTCCTTGCAGTCTCCTTTAAAGATGTATACGTCATCCAGAGCGATATCTCCTCTATAATGCCCATAAGACGTTGCTTTTAAAATAAGCTGTAATTGAAAAATAGCACGTCCATTTAGATAAGACTTAAAGTAAAATTAAAATAAATCGTCTATTCTTTGTTACTTGATAATAATTTTCAGACTTTTTCAATTGAATTCTTAAACGATTCCAATTATCTCCCCGACTATGTTCAATCTTAGAAAGTACTTTTAACATGGAAGTTTTATGAAGGCCTATTATCTCAAGTTTTCCAATTGAAGAATTTGATCCAAACATATGATAGTATAATTCCAGACAAAAATCTTTATTATTCATATTTAATAAGGGAGATTTTAATTCAGTATAGTAATTTCGTTCGCTTAAAGTCGCTTCTACATATGTATAAAAGCCTTGAGCATTACCCATTGTACGGTCTACGTTTGGTCCTGTCGAACTCGACGGAGTTGATCCAGAATGTCGGGTCCAGATGTAAGAATTATTTTCATTTGCAGGATACTTAGTTGTCGTCCACATACAAGTATCAGATTCAAAATCACAAGTTAGTTTATCTGGTAATATTTCATAATTAAATAATGATAATTGATTGAAAAGGAAAGAAGATTACAAACCAGGCGATATGGCTGTACCCGAAGGTCTTGTTTGCATAGTTGAAGGCATTGCCGGTATTTCTGTTGTCGTTGTTGTTGATAACGTTTGATAACAAGGTTGAAATTGAATATCAACTTGATCAAAAGCAATATCGCCCCTATAACCATTTCCATAGAAACCGGTAAAGAACAATTTTCTCAACTGCATAGATTAACATCCATTATGTTATTTCTTTACAATATTAAAAAGATGAACTAACCGTCGGCCTACTTGAATTTTCATTTTGTATTGTATAAGAAAAGTTATTCCAGATGTTTCCCTTATTTCCACTTTCGTCAAGAATTGTTTCATTCTTTAGTATTGTTCTTTCATCGTTGTCATAGATAACTAGGGACACTACGAAACGACCCATATTGGTTCCGAACATGTGATAGACAAATGATAAGCAACATGTTTCTTCGAAATAAACCATTGGAGATTCGAGGCTAGTTACTCTACTGGAATTAGCTTTCGAAGACTCGTAGTAAGCAAAATTTCCAGAATATCGAATTTGAGGACCAGTTCCCGTAGAAGGTGTTTTTGAAGCTATATACCATGGGAAAGTCGATTGTAAGCTTGGATAATAGGCGCAAAAGTCACTTTCAAAATCACAATTTAACTTTTTAGGAGATGTTCCTTCAGAGAAGAAAGTCATAATATTTCTATTATAATAACGAAACAATGCCTACTAATCGGTTTATCTTCTGGAGATCTTTGGCAATTTATAACTTTAATATCATCAATAGCAATATCACCTTGGTAACTGGTTAAACAAACTCCGCTAAAAACAACCTAAATTGACATTTCAAAATTGTGGTTTGTTTAGTTGCCAAATACAGCAAAGAGAAAGTAAAGAGTTACTCGATATTGTCCAATTGGTAGGCTAACGACGTTCTTCATCCAGCTATCACCTTGCGAACCACTCTTTGAAAATAAAATGGAATATCTTCCAGTTTTTTCGAGAGTTGCAATTGTAAAAGTTCCTATATCTTTACCAAACATGTGATAAGAGAATGATAATTGGCAATCTAAATTATCATTTGTAAAAATAGGGCTTGTAAAATTAGTGAAATCTCCACTTTTGCAACCGGAAGCTTCAGTATATAAAAAGTAACCTAAAAGAAATGAGTATTAAAGAGAGAGAGAGAGAGAGAGAATGAGTTTGATTTAGAAAATACTATTACCGTTCTTAGAAACATCTTCAATTGGTCCTGTGCCAGAAGATAATCGTCTATTTTGTAAAGTCCATATATAGAAACTATCAAATCGAGATTTAATTGTTTCGTATAGGCAAATTGTTTGTAAATCAAAATTGCAATTTAATAATGAGTTGTATGGTAAATTTACTGGTAATTTTGTAGAAGTTGTAGGTAAAGGTATTGTAGTTGCGTCTGCTGCTTCTGTTGTTATTTCAATTGGATTAGTTTCCGTTGTATACGATTCGGAAGAACAGTAATTGAAAGCTATTTCATCAATTGCAATATCTCCTCGGAATCCTCCTCCGCAAGTTGCTAAAAAAATCAACTAATTTTCCCTTCGTTAATCCTACTCTTTACTCATTCTATGTGGTGATAATGGATAATTGATTAAGATACTTACTTGATAAGTCCCTTGAACATTCAATTGAACTGTATGTTTTTTCCATTCATCTTTATTTAAATTATTGACACGGAAAACAAGATTTTCATTCGTCTCTTCAAAATTCCTCACATAGACTTCCAATTTTCCTATATCTCTTCCATACAAAAGATAATAGAATGATACACAGCCAGGAATGGTAATTTTAAAAGTAGAACTAGTAAGATTAGTTATAGAATTTCCAATACATTTCGAAGATTCGGTAAAAGCAAACTTTCCTTTTGAAGTAGGGGGGTTAAAAAGAACATTATTAAACTACTAAACCTGTTACCTGTTCCGTTAAAAGGTTTCGATGGTCCTGTTAAGGATGACGGAGTCTTAGAATCAATTGTCCAATAGTAGCCACTCTTTTCATTCGAAGTATTTTTATAATAGCAAAAATCATTGGAATCGAATGAACAGCTAATTAAATTCGTAATGTCGTTCTCTTGTTCATCTGTTGACATTAATAATAGAAACAAAACTAATTCAATTCCAACGTACCATCGCAATAGTATAGTCTTATATCGTCGATAGCAATGATGTCTCTACTGGTCGGTGATCTTTTGGCTTTAACCGCGATCTATTCAGTTTTTAAAAGAGTAATTTCTATATAAAATATCATCTTTGAAGCTACTTTCAGTTTCTTACTTGATCAATAGACACATTGAAAATCTTAACCTTCTTTTGCCATTTATTAATGGTTGATGATAAATGCCCCAACGTTTCATCTCTGAATTGAACAATTCCCTTATCTATACCGTAAAATTGTATAAGGTCTTTATCGCCGCCAATCCAATAATGAAATTCAAGACATTTCCTTTTGAATTTCGTGTCAAATTTAATAATAGGTGAATAAATGTAAGTTTCAAGGTCATTTGAATGATCAAATTTCGCATAAAGGAACTTTCCTAGAAGAGATTTTTTTTATTGTTATTGTTAAGAATTAAAGAGATTCTGGTAAAGGAATAAAATTACCATTACGGCCTTGAAGATGAGAACTATGCAGAGAGCCTCTTTGAAATTTATAAAGAGAGATACCTTGGGGAACGCTAGTTGAAAAGGAACAGTAATCTTCCTCGAAATTACACTCCCAAATAGGATTTTCAACTAATATTTACAGAGATAAAGATTATTTTAATACAGAGATAAGTCAACAGGAACAAACCTGAGATTATAGGGCGAATAAGAATCGACAAAATAGATAATCCAATAAGCATTCTCATTCGTCATTAATTAACCAATTCTACTAGAACAGAGACAAGAAGTTCTTGAAAGGGATAGATTGTAGAGAAGAATTCAAAATGACTAAAAAGAGGACGGAAAAGGGTTGTTAAGTGAAACGACTTTTGTGTACGTACCCCTTTATCTTTTCAACTTGTATATACTTTGTATTGTGTTCAAGTCGTGATTATTGCAGGCCTATAGAGACTCGTGTCTTTACAAATATTCCAACCTCTAAAAAAAACATAATTGAAAACATTTTATTGCAGATCTATACATCAGTAACAATAGAATAATATCATCGTTTTCATTTTACTGCTATTCCTTTACTACTAATTGTTTGAATATATTAGTATAAACTGTATATACTGTATATATTATATCTAACGTTTCTCCTCTCTCCACGCAACTTTCCTTCCCCTTCTAATCATTTCTGCTCGTTGACTTTCTTTATTTAAACTTTAATATCGTTCTTATAAATTTTATACAAATATATTCTGGAGTTTAATTGAAATTTGACAAAAACCTCACTTCTTTTCATTAAATATTGTATGTTTATATAAAAAAGGTAAATAAATTATATTACACAATATGTGTAATCTCTCTCTTCAGGATAATGAGGTCAATTCAAGCTTATTTTATATAGGGACATCAGCTCCGGTAGTTTTACACTTTTTGTTTGAATATACTCTAATATATTTATTTCATCACAGACAATCACAAGGTACATTCATTCAGTATTTTGATCTTTTATTTGATTAAAAGTGTGAATAAAAAGATAATACAGTTGTATCGGTGTTTTGCTTTTCTTTGTTCAAACATTTTCTCGTTTGCAGATGGCGTTTCATTCTAATTTAATGAAGAAAATAGAAGAGAAAAGTGAGTATTGTGTTATCTTCCAATAGGAATTTTCTTCTATTTTAATGCATTGAGAAGAGAAAAGTCTAACCGATTTTCGGTACATTTGTCACTTTTCCTTGAAAATTGATGAATAATAAAACTCGATCGGGTGAGAATTTTGGCTGTATATTTGAATTTTGCGGTAGGGCCTGAATCTGGAAAATATTAAAATATGAAAAGGATTTATATCTACGGTATATACAGTATATTTATATAATAGATAGAAAGGGAAATCTTACAGTGATGCCAGGAAATTGTTTGCGTATTTTCTTTTGAGCTTCGAACCAAGACTAAGAAGATGATGTTGCAAAGGGAGAAAAATGCAATAAGTGCATTGCAATTATCATATATTGTATATGTCATTGTTTAATTCTCTCTCTTTTTTTTTCATATTTATCTCTATCATCCCCATTCCGCTTCCCTCATTCTTCTTCCTGTTCTTTTTTTATATATAATAAAGGCAAACAAGCAGAAAGAAGACCAAGGGAGTAGAAGGGAAAGAAGAAAATAAAGAATATGACAAACAACTTACCTGCCCTACTAAATCGGGCCAACAGCCGGCTTCAACATTCGTTAATTTGGTAGCCATATATATTGAATTTTATTTACCACAGATATAACATTTGCAAATAGAATAGTTTACTAGTTAAAAGCATCTTTACTTAAACTATTACAATTTACAAACCAAGGCAAACTGGTGTATAGTTATAGAAATATTATATACATAGAAATAATATCAATCGATTCTCCTGCTATGCTTTTTTTTTTCATTTACGCAACTAGCCCCCTCTATAGGAGGACGATGACTTGAGTATTATACGGACATTTTTCTTTTTCAATACATATCTAAACAATAGTACCGATGAGCATAGGCCAAAAAAATCTAGCGTAACCGGTCACGAAAACATTTTCCAACCAACGGTAATCATACAAATGTTTAAAAAATCAATAATAAGATAAGCCTAGGACTGAAGAAAAAGAGAGAATATATATATATATATATATATATATATATATATGTATGTGCATATGGAGAAAAATACCAATGATAGACAGACCTATAGACAGATTGGGGAATAAAAACAGAAAGAAGATAGAAAGGCTTTTAAAACGGTTAAAGAAATATTAATAGACTTTGATAAGTAAGATTAATCTAAAAAAGAAGTTATATAAGAAAAAAATTACCATAATCCCTTTTTTCATAGAGTTTCTTTTTGTCGTCTTACACTTTGAATTTCCTGTAAATATATAAATAAAACAACGATTGTCCTATATAAATTAGTCAACAGAGCGGATGACTTATTGAAATGAGTAAGATCTAATAGAATCACAAATAATGAGCAAACGTCTGTGTGACAAAGAAAGAGATAGAGGGATAGACAGGGAAAGAGAGAGATAGAAGGATAGATAGACAGATAGATAAAAAAAAGGACAAAATTGTAGATTCATAGGCCAAATATATGTTTTTTAGTTATCTTTTTCCATATTGAATCAAACGGCCATAAGACCATTGAAGAGTTTAGGCTAAAAGTTCTCAGCATATCCGGAAATCCTCAAATCTAATACGGATTTTTCTTCCAGAATATGCCTTCCCTAAGTGATATTGAATTAAACAAAGAATATCTTCGGACTAAACCCGCAATATTGAAATTAGCTGAAGTGGTAAATATAAAATGAAATCATAAAGCATATATATATATATATATATATATATATATGTATAAAATACATAATATCTTCCTTTATTACTAATAGATTACTATACATATATATATATATATATATAGTCAGGATAGATGTAATATGATAGATAGCCCATCTATACTTTAATTCTATTCTATTTTAATTTCTTCTATTTTCGTATTGAGGCAACAAATTTCTAAATATTATCAATAAACAAAGGTCTTCTCCTAATCCTACTGCAAATTTCTTGATATCTTAATTTTTTTTTTTTTTGCAGTTTATATCACTTTGCTGTTTTATTTCGGCAGTTGTTAAATATGCCTTATGGAATGAATTTGGTACTGGAGCATCATTTGTAGCGTTTGCTTCATTCCTTAGCTTCGTTGGTAGTGTTGCCCTGTTCCTATTGAATTTATTTGGAGCTATTGCAGTTATACGTAGAAAATTTGCCTTTTATACTGTTCTATGCGAACTTGGATACTATGTCGTTCTACTTATATTTGTGTTTGTGGCAGCCATTTTAAGTTCCAAAAATGCCAAACTGCATTCAGCTATTGGAGCGGCTACTTTCTTTTCGTGGGTTCTGTTTGTTCTAGTTGCGGCTCAATTAGCATTTCAAGCAATCCTCTTTAAAGGTATTTATAAAGATTTATTCATTCTTTCGCAACAAGTCACTATAATTTTTCCTTTCAAACTTTTACGTAACACTCAAGATCTTGACAATTCAAGATAGTTAATCTGTTTTTTTTTTGTTCTAATCAAATCGCTAGATCCGTTCTAATGTTCAAAAAGTATTCATTACTCATTTAAAAAAAATATTCATTCAATCAATCAGCTATCTACGAAGAAAGAAAGAAAAAACCGACCGGTGACGGTGAGGCGAACAATGAAAATAGGGAAGACGCTAAAAAATTAAAACCTTCTTCAAATCAAACGTCTTCCGCCAATACCCAAATGTCAGCTGGTGAAAGTACATCAGTGCCTTTGGAAGCGGTTCCTGAAAAACCGAAAGAAGAGAGGGTTATACAATATAGCGTTGCGGACAATTTGGATGTAGGGGGAGACGGAAATTGGGAAGTCTTATAAGTCAAAGTTGTTTACAATAATCAAAAGTAATATTAGATATCTTTTTCTCTTCCAACCTCTTTGCCTTCCCAACGAAAAAAGAACTGAAAAAGATTCCTTGATTATTTCCTCCCTCGATAGCCATTCTTCGCTCCCCCTCTAACTTTTCTGCAAGCAGGAGGAAGTCGACTAATATATATATCTATGTCTATATATATATATATATATATATATATGTATAAATATTTATACTTTGATGCAGTTTGTTCTTAGTTCTATTTTCTTTTTAGATTATTGCTCTAACGAGTATCTTTCTATCTTGAAGATAAATAAAGTAAATATATTGAAAACAGATATTTACTGACAAGAAAGTCTCTGTTAAGTAAAGAACAATTATAAAAAAGACCATTTAGGCTTTTTGCTTCTTGTCTGGAACATTTTCATCACATTCTGTTGATAATTGACGCTTTACAGTATTTTTTGAAAATCGACATTCTAATAGAACACTATCCAATCGAGACATTAAAAAGTCAACGTTACTTTTAGTTATACACATTGGTGGTTTAAACTTTAAGACATTTTCATCTAAACCATCAATTGTCATAATTATATTACGATTCCTTAATGAATCTACAATGAATGCTGCTTCTTCTGTTGCCGGCTTTTTCGTCAGACGGTCTTTGGACAATTCGATTCCGGCGAATAAGCCAGCACCTCTGTTAAACAATAGTTAATAAATAGAATGATAAATGGTATACAGTCTTTATTATAGTTTACCGAATATCTCCGATGATGCTATGCTTTAATTTTAGCTTTTTTACTTCGTTAACAAAGTAATGTCCAACTTCAATTGCATTTTCTCTTAAATTCTCTTCTTCAATCGTTTGGAGAACAGCCAAGGCAATACGACAAGATACAGGATTCCCCGCAAAAGTACTGAAAAAAGAGTCTGCTTTCTCAAAGAATTGATCAGCTATTTCTCTAGTTGTTACAACAGCAGATATAGGATGACCATTTCCCATCGGTTTACCTAGCGTAACTATGTCTGGAACGACATCATTCATTTCGAATCCCCACCAATATTTTCCAACCCTACCAAATCCTACTTGAACTTCATCCGCGATACAAACCCCTCCGTGTTCTCTAACTTGCTTATATACACTCTCCAAATAACCCTTAGGCATTATAATCTGTCCTGCGCAGCTCTGAAGGCTTTCATGAATAAAACAGGCTATTTTTCTGTTGCATTCTTTTAGCCTGTTCAGTATTTTTTCAATTTCCAACGCGTAAAGCTTTGATAATTCCTTGTCACTTTCGAATTCGTCCCTTGTAAATTTTCCTCTATAAGTATCCGGGTTTGGCGCCTATTGAATTTAGTTTTCAATAATTATTTATACAGGTATACTGTGCAGTTTGAAAGGAAATACATTCGTTGGAGTTTAACTTACAACGTGGACATGATCTGGTTTAGAATACAACTGTTTGTAAGGGGATACTTTCATCGTTGCTTCAGTTATCCCATGGTAAGCTCTATATTATTTATAGGGGAGAGAAGATATTGGAATTAGTCACTATGCTTATGTAATATTTTAACAAAAAATATTAACGCGTTAAGGCATATTATATCCTGATTACCCGTATAAGTTTTAGCAAGTCTCATAGCCAAATCGTTAGCCTCGGACCTATTGTTTAAATTTTTAAAGGATTAATTAGCTAATTAATTAATCAATTGAATTAGAATAATATAAAGAATATAAAGTTGTCTCTTAGAGAAAATGGTTTGTCTGACCCTGAATTAGTAAAGTATATTCTATTCAGCGAAGGTGGAAATTTCTTTAATAAACTTTCTGATAAATGTAAAATATTATCGTTTAAATATCTTGAATTCGTGTTCAATATTTCCATTTGTTCTACCCCGGCAGCAACAACTTTTGGATGACAATGCCCAACTGCAAAAACAATATACTACAGTAAGGCAATACGCCGTTTATATACAACAGTCTTAAGAGAATAAGCTAAACGTGGAATATACAGTATAGAGAAGAAAATAAATTCAAACCATGGCAAACGTTGTTGGCACAATCCAAATACTCTTGTCCTTCTTCATCATACATATATTGGCCTTTAGCTTCTACAATCTTTAAAGGATTAGATTTATAGAAAAGAGGGCAAGACTTGCTGTTTGAAAAGAGAAAAAATGATTTTTACCATCATTAATAATTTTATATTATTTTAACTTACCCTATAAATTCATTTCGAAGCCTTATCGTTTCTTCCTTTGTCAATTTTTTACCTGTCATCTTACTCGATGATCTCTCTATAAACTTAGTAATTTCGAAAATTTCACTTGCGTAATTTTTATATAACAAATGACATTCACTAGTCTGCATCAAGGTTAGTCACGTGACTTCGACATTTTTTGCAGTGGTGGCGCCTGACTACTGCCTTTTGCCTTGATAGCTGGAATATTCAAAAATATATTTGGAAATTATCTAGGGAATAGTAGAGAAACATATTATATGTATTAGATATCAAATGAACATCTAGGCATAAGTTGGCAACCTCAGCAACTCTTCAGGAATTAATTTGAGATTGCTTGTATGGTAAAATGATTTATCTTGAGAAGCTAATAAATTATGTAGTATTTACTATTGAGCTAATAATTAAAATGATAGACTTAAACATTATAGTTTTGCCTTAAAAGAAGCGACTTTCTGATGCAAGTGTCTAAAAATATTTTCAGCCGGATCAATATTTTTTTTTCTATATTTTTAACCAACGCCACCTTGAGGATAAGGGATTTGACCCTTATTTTTATTTTGGTAAATCGATGTATTTCAGATCTTATTCAATTGTATAGGAGTGTGTATACAATAATATGCAATTTATACCTTATATTCTTATAAACAAAACCTTTTCCAAGTCCCAAATTCAACATGCAAAGAACGAAAAGAAAAAAATCTCTAAAAACTAAGTTGGATTTTAGAAATTTGATCAGTCCAAGTTTCACATAACATTAATATCGAAAAAATAAGAGTAAACTGAGTCTTTATAATCAAAAATCCAACGAAAGATCAATAGGCCTAAAAAGAAGCAATATGTTTTTCCTTAACTTTTCCACAAATTTGAATGTCTCGAAGAGCTGCTAGTTAAGCCCGGCATCATATCCATAAAAAACTGCCTTTGTATATCAGCCATTTTGGCTAACTGTTGTGGAGAGTAGGAAGAACCCATAGTTGCTAAACTCCTAGAAGAATTTTGAAATAAACTCTGTTGGTGTTGCTGTAGAAGTCGAAGCTGAGCTTGCTGAGTTTGTATCAGTAACGTTTGTTGTTGACGAATTTGCTCAGGAGTTAGCTTATAATTTGCTAATGCAGCCACAGCTTGTTGTTGCATTGATTGGAAGCTGAGAGCAGCTTGAACTTGTGCTTGGACAGCAGCCGTGTGAGCGGATACTGATGAAACCGGAGGTATGCTTAAAGACGGTTTTTCCCTAGAGCTTTGAGGTCTCTCTGAACTAGACGACGATGACGAAGTCTTCGTATGTGAATGCGAATGCGTACTAGCATGCGTATTCGTCGGAGTAGGAGTTGAAGGTGCAGGTGTTGCGGCGATAGGTGTATCTTTTACAATACCTTGAGCTAATTTCTGTTCTATTTCTTGTTCTCGTTGAAGAGCTTTTACAAAAGCGGTTTTCAAACGATTTGTATGCTCCTGCTTAAGAGCTTTCTTCTGATTATTTGTTACACACTGCTCGCATATAACAGATTTTGATCCGGGTTTGTCCCTTTTCCAGACTGGTGTATAATCTGTACTACACTGTATACAAGTGAAAGGATTGAATACATATTTAACGTCGGGCTTTTCGCTTGAGGATTCTCTTATAGCTTTGACAACTTCCTCCAAACCTAATAGCATTCCAAAATCCGTACTACAAAGAGATGGTAAGAAATTCATTTCTGGAGGGGGTGGTTTAGGAGGGGGTATTTGTAATAGCGTTTTTTCTAATTCTTTTCTTAAAGCTAATTTAGCGGCTGCTCGATTTTGATCTGTAACAACTGACTTTTGAGTACGTTGAACTGGAGTAGGAGTTCTACTTTGTTTAATAATATCTTTGCTGTTGCTGTTATTATTATTGTTGTTGACAACACTTGGTGGAGTTGGAGTTGCGTGAGAAGATGAATTTTTGCGATCGTTATTTTGAGTTAATTGTGGAGTCATTTGGGAACTTCTTATTTTCTTTAATAGAACCAGCGTTGCTTCGTGATTTCGAAGCTGCTCTTGCAATTTCCTCTTTTTATTTAATAGCTCGTCAACACCACCGCCATTTTCATCATCTGACACTAATACTACATCTGGCACATTTTCCTTATCGGTTTCCTGTTTTGGGCGTTTTGCGATCTCAGGTTCATCGATCGACAGTTTCCGCTTCATGCTTGCATCGTTTAGACTGTTTGTCAAAGGAGTTTAACGCATTAGAAAAATATGGCTTTTAAGAGAAAATTAACGCTGCACGAAAAACAACATCACACATTTAATCAATAAAGTCTCTTTTAAATAGCTTTCTTGACTTGCTTCGTCATTGGATTAATAAAATATAGCATTAAAATAATGTCAACAAATCTCACAATGTTTAACAAGAGAAGTTAATGTAATTTTAATGCATTACTTATTATAGTAGGCACAAACCTATTGAGAACAGTAAACACTGCATAATTATAAATCTAATAGTGTAACTTTAAAACTTTAACTTAATTGTTGTCCATAAGAATATTTAATGCCTTTCCGGTATTATTTTTTATTCTACATACAAAACTTATGTTAGCCTACTAAAAATATAAGTAATTCTGTTTAATACATTGCATTCTAATAATTATTGACTTTCTGTAGAAAAAAGTAAACATTGCAAGAATTCAAAAAATTATTTATTACCTTTGTTTACTTTCTACAGATTTCATATCGGTGTCACCATTGCAGTTCTCGACGATAGCGCTCGGTTTGACTTCTTCTTCCGCCATCTGGGTGTTATCTAATTTGAAGAGAGAGAAAATATGTTAATTGACGCATTTCGATAAGCCGGCAGCCATCTTGGATGTGTTCCTAAGAATGTGTGTCTCAAATCCTTTGTTCTATTTAGAATCGATATTTACGCGTCAAAAAACACACGAAGAAAAACTATAAAATTACCCATTACTTCCACAAAAAGTCTCAGAGCAGTCAAATCGACTGAATATTAGATTAGAATGAAAATCAACTTCTTTATCAGAATCAACGTTACAGACCGTTCCCGACGCGTTTACAATGAACAAACCGGAAGTTGCGAACCACGTGACATAGTTTTTTTTTTTTTAAATAAATTTTTTAATTAGAGTTTTTTTTAAGATACTGACTAAAGCAATTCGATGAAATAATTTCTAATAAATAGTCTTTAAGGAAAAAATAACTTTGCGTGATATGGTGTTATATATATATTTCAAAATTACTTTAGCGACATCTACTGGTTAGATGTTTTAATACCTCGAAGTATCACTAAGACGGTATGTTACCAAGAAAAAGGAATGTTCTAAAAAGAATATTCTCTTTTCCATTGAGAAATCTTTTATTATAAAAGATATATATATATATATATATCTACGTATTTAACATATGAATTAAATTATAAACCAACGTAAGGGAGATAAAAACACGATTAAATAGTTAATTTAACGAAAAATTGAGAGAAAAATATTAAAATTATAAATAAATATAAATAAATACGGAACGTTAAACCAATGAACTAATAGCAAGAATGTTGCTATAAAGACAACGTAAGGATGTACATAATATATATAATTGAATAAATGCATATGTATGTATATATATAGATATATGTAGATATCTAAGAATAACAAAATTTACATTGAAAACCCATTTTGGAGAGTATAGAAAAGCGGGAAACCCGTATGGTAAAATCATTAATGAATTGAATGTTGGATCAACATCTGTTTTACATGAAAAAAACCAAGTAACATAATTTAAACGTCAACAGAATGTTGAGTACTACAACATGCATATGGAATAATAACACGATGCTTGGCTGGTATTTAATTGAAAAATAACGGTTCTTAATTAATACTAATTAATTGAGTATTTTAAATACTACAAATATATGCATATATATGTAAATATATTTAAATTTTTCATTATAATTGAATAATAAAAACATTTTAGCTTGCTAATTATTGTTTTATGGCAAATTTGCATTTCCTGGAAGTCTAGATTCTCTTCAAGGGATAGACGACAGAAGACTATCTTTTCGTAGTACCTTCATTGTCAATGGCGGTTTTGTACCACGTGATTGTGTAAAGAATTGTGATTGGCTACCAATTTGTGCAGGACTAGCAAACATCCGCTACATCATGGCTAACCAGGCGAACCCTCGTAAATTTAGTGAGAAAATCGCCCTTCATAACCAAAAACAAGCTGAAGAAACAGCGGCCTTTAACGCAATTATGAATGAAGTTAAGAATAGCAAGGTTTGTAGATGTTGTCTTGATCGGAAATGCTGAAAAAACTTGCTAGAATTTCGAGGCGCGCCGCGATTGTTTATTTATTTACAGTACGTTTTAAAAGGAATTAAAGAGTGTTATTTTACAGAACCAGAGTATGAAAAATCAACAGTTACAACATATTGATGTTATTCAAAATGTTGGTCTAAGGCCAGGAGGTAGCTTACCCAATGTCAATCAGATGGCTAGTAATAATTCTATTGATTTAAAGGTATGAGTAAAAACAGGCCTACGTTTAATTATCACGACTAACCTAAATCTTTTCAATACATAGAGTGCATTGAATACTCTGAAGGATGTAAAGCAACAGCCGAAAACAACAAGACAAACTCTTATGGATAGAATACAGAATAGAGAAAGGTTGAACGGTTTTTCTTTCCTTTTCAACAGATACTTTTACCTTGAGAGGATATCGTTAGATAACTTTCTTGGAAGTCATATTCTGTACATTATAACGAGTCTTAGAGTATGAATTACATTTACTACTTGTATTCTATTATAATTGACCGTTGAAGAGAGATTTAGAGGTAGTACGTCGTTCACTGAGAGTAAAGTAAAAGAAGAAAAATAGTCAAGTAGTCAGAGGTTATTCTATCTTATAAATGAGATAATAGTTATTTTCTTGTCACTATTTAGTACAGTTCTACCTTTTACCTGTTTATATATTAAAAGTCAAGCTAATTGTCTACTAAGTATTTCTTACTCTTTTTTTAAATTATATCAATATTAATAGATTAATGAAAAGGTGTAGACTGTTTGGCATGCAAGAAAGTAATAAAAAAATTCCTAGGTAATGTTTGCTTTAAAAGGTCAATTTTCAGCTATATAAAGTTTTCCCAAGAATAGTATTTTATTTATTCATATACAGATGGATCTACTCGTAAACATTTATATATATATATTAGGATATAAATATATAAATTTATATATATATATATATATATATTGTATATTTACAGTATGAATGCATGTGTACGCTTATGAAATATAGACTAAGATATTTTCCTCCTCCACTAATTTGATAACTCTGTATTATTTGCAGAGCCAAGAACTCGGGTATGTCGACTCATCTTAGACGTCAAGGGGGTAACTCAAGGGTAAGTTAGAAGGAAGCAAGGACTGGGATATTAAAGGTCTTGATGTTAATTTCCTCTCGCTTTTTTCTCCTCTTTTAGCACGATGTTTCTCCATACGCAAGTCCTTCTTCGTATCTCTCACCGCCATCTGATTCTAATTGGCGGAGGTATGTATTATATAAATGTTCAAATTGTGTTTCTATAATGAATAATTGATTGACACAGTAACCTAATTAAATAGGCAAGCTACAGTAGGTTATTTAGATGATTTTAGCTTGTGATTAGGATGACATAATTATAACTTTGATACTGTTTTCATTGGACAAGGTCACTAATTTTATAAATAGATGACACTTAGTATTGGTAAAGGGTGTATATAGATTTTGTAACCTATCCCTTCTGAAGCAATATGCATGTAACGAAATACAAAACAGAGCTGGATAGGGACTGGAGGGAGAGGGAGAGAGAAAGAGACTAAAGAAAAGAAAAGGAGAGGAAAAGATGTAGATGTGGGAAGACTACCAACACATATAATAAGTGTAATGATAATAAGAGTAATAATAAGAATAACAAATAAAAGATGGTATAAAATAATTATATTTAGGGTATACAATTACATTTAAGCAATTGTTGGTATATACAAACCATAGGATATGTACCTGTTGGATACATCATATATAGTTAAACATTATACTGTGAATTATATAGTATATCTATTATAAATATTTATTGCTACTATTTTATATATGTAAAACGTTCCCTATATAAAAGATGTATCTAGCGACGTATAGTAAAATATTTCTATTGATTTCTTTACATGACAAGATTATACGTAGTATATGTATATATATATATATATATATATATATAGTATGTGGAGAGAAGGGAAAAAGATTCGACCCGTCCATCTGTTTCTCTCTCTCTCTCTCCCTCCCCGTCCCTCCCTCTTTCTCTGTTCAATAGTGTATATAATTATTTAATACGTCTATTCTTTTATTCAATATTACATAAACCATTTATTTTTCGATTGTTGCTGCTAATAATATCACTTTTACATAAAGAATTATTAATAATATGATAATATGTCAATATTACATTTTTTATTTAGTAAGATTATTACTTGACAGTGTTTTCTTTTTTTTTATTTCTCTATTGTCTCTATCACTCATTCTCTCTCTTTCTGTCTAACCATCTGTTTCTTTATCTGTTCTTTTTTCAATATAGACTATGAATAGTTTAGTATAAGAGCGTAGAAGAAGATTATACAACATAAGTAAAAGGTAGCAGCACCTGATCAATATTATAAACCAATATAAACAATTATAACTGTATTATCATGGTTGTCTTTTAACTGTTAGTAGATACAAAAGGTAGGCGATCAGTTGATTCTATAGTATATAAAATTCTACAAAGTTACTCATTATTAGTCGACAATTTTATAAAAGGGTTAGAGAGAAAGAGAGAGAATAGAGTATGTATTTGTGTAAAAAAAGGGGGAATATACCTCAAGGATGTCTTTGAAAAAAATAGAAGGTCGAATCGTTTTCATGTATTCTCTTCTGTTTAAGTAGAGAGAAATCATAAATAAAAGAGGAAAGGCGGGGTGAGCGACAAAGAAAGGGAGGAAAGTTAGATTATACATTAGACAACTTTTAGCTCAAATATATTTTTTTATATAGTTTTTTAGGCTAAAGAAAAAAATTATAAAATAAAAAGACAGTGTTCAGAACAGTTCTATCGATTAATGTCCAAAGGTTAATGCGTACTTCTTTGATTCATTCTAAATTTGCATACATTTTATTCAATAAGTATATTCTCTCTTGATTATTTCCACGTTTATACACAAACAGCTTTCCCTACGCATTATAATGAATTTCACTCAATTATCTCTTAGCATTTAATATACAGTATATATAATAATATATTTAAGTTTTAATAGTTGTAGCGCCATCTATTGTTCATTTCTAAAAGTCATATTTTTTTTACGTTTTTCTCAAATTAAATGAATGAAAAATGTATTAAATAATACATTCGTCCTTTTATTTCTTTTAGAACAAACTCCGATTCGGCAATACACCAAGCCCATCAAGTGTTGGCACCGTCAAATTTGCAGAGTGACATGTTGCCACTTGGTATTGACAATTTGAATTTTACAGATAACTTGACTGCTTCACTATTCCTTCATGAAATACATCAAGTAAACAAATATACTTTGACGTCTTCTTTCCATAAAAAATTGTACTATTTATTGTTCTTTTTCCATAGCAACGCGTACAACAAACCACCGAACAAAATTCATGCGGCGATGTCCCAGGAATCAATATAATAAGCGATGGAACAGATTCAGGCGTTAATATACCAATATCGAATTCAACCGGCTCATTACCTGACTTGACAAACCTCCATATACCTTCACCCCTTAGTACGCCCATCGACCAAGAAAACCAACAGCAAGAGAATTATGCCTCTTCGGTGCCGACTCAAAGTCCAATAGCCCTAATACAACAACAATTAGAATTTAATCGTAAATCTCCAGCGTTGACTATCCCAACCGTTCAGGTACTATTTAAAATTATACAGTATATAATTAAAAAGTATGCATAACAAGCAAAAAGGCCGATTATGTTGAATGTCGTTTTTTTTTTGTTTTTGTATCTTTTATCTGTTGTGAAAGCATGAACCAAAAAGAATCCCTTCCTTGAACAGGCTTCACCCCGCGTTCAACTTCGTCAAATGCTAGAATCGAAAAAAAATCAACATCTATCAGTACCCAATGGTCGTTCACCCTGTCCATCACCTACGTTACCTTCCAGAGATACGTCACCTGTTGTAAGTTTGTTGTCATTAACAATTTTTATAGCTCTTCAAAACTTCTCTCTTGACAAGTATTAATGTCTTTCTCTCTTAATTTACAACTAGATATTATATATATATATATATATGTATGTGTGTATATATGTCTTCAGCTTTCTTTAATTTCCTCAACCTTCTTAGAAACCTTATACTTAAATCTCCTTAATTTTAACCCATGTCAATCTTATTTTGGCTTCCTATCTTTCAACAAAAACTCTTTAGCTAAAGAATCCTCTTCTGTTTGTTTGTTAATTGGAAATAGCTTTAACCTAATTCTAGAAAATATAAGAGATCTATTTATATTTCTTTTATAAACAGTTTAAGTAAATTGTCTTTCTGCAAATTTCATAATATATTGTTCTTATTTTCACTTTGCTCTTCTCCACAGAATATAAACACTACGTACAGAACTAGTCATGAAACTGGCATTGCCACATCACCTACTTCTCCGTTGTCACCTGCTTCTTATTCCCCATCTCAGTCGCCAGTTTTACCCGTAACAACAGGAAACTATTTTGCACAAGATCAACTACACCAGCAGTTCAGCCAAGTCCGTATGGACCAGCAAGAAACAGATTCTCAGCAATTAGCTCAAATTCTCGCTTATATGCAACAGAGTAATGGTGTACAGGGAAATTTTTACGTTTCTTCTCCAACAACTCCCTCGAGCCCCCATCAAAACCACTCTCATAGTAGCCCTCTCAGCCCAGAAACTCCTTTTTCGCTTCAACAAACGAGTCCAGGGTCAGTGCAGCAACAAAACTCACCTGGGGACAGTAGCATTCCGGATATAATACTAACAGGTATTAAAAGAATACCTGTATTTTTTATTAGCTTGATAAACAGTAATTAATATGAATACTATTTATTTTTTTCTATATAACAGCTGTTGACGAGTTTAACCAGTCTCATATAAATAATGGAAGAGACTTAAATTTTCCATGCGATTTAGAACTGCTCTCCGAAGGATTAGATCCAGTGAATATGCAAGATTTGGATTTATTGAACTCCTGTCAACCATTTACCGACGAAGATCAAATTGAAAAAGATTTAAGGACATCTTAAGGGAGAATCTTTTTTCGTTATTTTTTTGCCTTGTAAAAATTATCAAAAAGACATAAGAAAGAAAGAAAGAAAGAAAGAAAGACAGACAGACAGATAGAAAATGAAAGAAAGAAAGAAAGAAAGAAGAAAGAAGAAAAGAGAACAGAATAGGAAGGAAAAAGCAAGACTCTTTCCCAAAGTTTTTTCTTTTTGGGAAAAAGATTTCCATCTCTCTCTCTCTCTCTCTCTCTCTCTCACTTTCTCGTCTTTCTCTCTCTTTCTCGTCTTTCGTCTCTCTCTCTCGTCTTCTTCCTTCTTCTTGCTCTTCTCTTTCTATACTTAACTCTTTTTTCTACTGCAATCTTGTTCTCTCGTGTTTTTAGCCTACTTCTCTTCAATATTGTATAGTTTGTTTCCTTGTTTTTTAAATACCTTTTTCGTCATTGTACAAATGAAAAAAAAACCGTTTAATATCAAAAAAGCCAAATGAATTGAAAACTAAAAAATATAAAAATCAACTAAAACAATATCTAAGAAATTAAGTTAACAAATTGTCCTCTTTATTTTGTTTTTGATAGAGAAGTTGTATCCTCTCTCTCTCTCTCTTCTCCTTTTTTAATTGAAAGTAATTGATTCTTTCCCCGCCCTCTCCCATTTTTTTTTCATTTTTCTTTACTTGATACTTAACATTGTCTTTTTTTGTTTAGCAGTGACTATTTTCGATATCATAGATGGCGTTTTTGAAGGAAAAAAAATCCCATTTAATTGCTAACCATTTAGCCATCTAACGGGTTATAAGTCAGTAACCATTTTCGAATTGAAATATTCTATTTTTTTATTTTTACAAGAGATTTCATATGAATATACAGTATACATATATATTCATTCTTGGTATAAAGTTTCCGTTGCATCTATACTAAAGAGTCTATGTATTTTTATACATATTAATATATACTGTATATATGTCTATATGTATACTGTAAACCCAAAAAATTATATATAGAATGAATTGACTGTTCATAAAAATGTCAAGTCTGAGTGTGCCATCTTTACTTGTAAATATTGTATGAATATATAAATATGCAAATACGTCTTTCTCCTCTAATACTTGTTACCAGTTAGTCAGCTGGTCACATTTTACCCAGTCGTGTTTTTTGTTCTTTTTTATACTTTGGTAAATATTTGTACATAGAATTTTCTGTTTATTTTAATTGTAAAGAAATATTTCAAATACAAAAAAGAAATGCTTACCTGAGTAAAGAACATTCGAAGAGGGATTTAATAGTTTTAGTAGTAGTAACCAATGAATGCAATTGGGACTTATAAAAAGAAATTTTGCAGTTGAGAGACGATGAATACTGCAAATTTATGTAGTTTATATATTTTATGTAGTATATGTTCCTATAATTTTAGTAACACCTAAAAGTCAAGACTTTATTAATTTTCTTTTTATTTCGTCCATGTTTACTCAACACTTGTTCCAGTTTATATCTTTTTCCTTAATCATTTTCTCTCTCTCTCTCTCTCTCTCTCTCTCTCTCTCTCTCTCTCTCTCTCTCTCTTTCAATCTGTCTGTCTCTTTGACATGTTTATAATATAGAAAATTGCATAAATCCCTTGTAAAGCGAGTGTTTCTTGAAGGGGTGACATGAGATCTTTGATCGCTTACTAACCCTTTCCATTATCAGAAATATTTATTTTCCTTTATTTTTTCCATAGTTAGACTTTAAAGGTGTAATTTAAACGCCTCCATTCGTCCTCTTTCCCCTATCGAATCAATTGAGGTATTTTCGAGTGCAGTTGTAATTGAAACTAGATTATTATTTTCTTTCTCTTTGCTATTCTACTAGTTCGAATGAAAGTAATTTAAAAATAAGAAATGCAGTTGTTGGCATCGATTAGAGAAAGGGTGGATGGGATGGAAATGAGGGGGTGAAAAAAAAAAGAAGGAAGGAGCATGTTAAAAATAAAATTGAAGGCCTATAATTAAACGCCAACGCACGTGGAAGAATGTAAGCTTTTTTTTAGTTTGAAATGTATTTGCATTAAATCGTGAAATGTAAAAAAGAAATTAGCAGTTTAATTCTCTTTTCTTAACAAGTTGAAAGCCAAAACTTGCTTTTTGTTAATATTGTTTAGCAAGAGAAATTCGAATGCATACGATAATTCAAAAATTTATTATAATCTTTTGAACAGGCAATGCAATATGTTTTACTTGAACATTTTCTTAGAAATTGTATAAAATTCCTTGTCAATAATAGAATTCTTAATAAATCATTATAAATCTTATATATACAGTATATATATATATTATTCTATTAAGATTAATAATAAAAGATATTAAAGACGGTAACGGCAAGTTGCTTTGAAAAAAGCAACAGTAAAAATTTTCTCTTACATAACAGGTAAAGTGTATGTTATTCTTAGTATAGGCCTTCCTCCCTATAAAAATCTAATGTTAATGTAACGCCTATTGACGACCAGCTATTTATATACATCAATAAATAATTATTCACTCTTATTTTTTTCTGCCTACGCACTTAAAAAAAAAACTGTAGATAATCAATTGGTCAATGTCCCTCCTATTGAACGCATGTTAACTTGGCGAATCACGTGATCAAGTGCATCCTTTAAGTTTAATTAGTAAGTTAAAATCATTGCTTTTTCGATATTTTAGTGTCTTTTTTAATGGATTGTTAAATTATATATCTGCCCTATATTTTGCTTTTTGAGGAAAAGAAAGGTAAAAATTGAAGAAAAGCTGTTGAAATATTTAATGTTCCTTTATTTATCTTGTGTTTGTCAAATGAGAGATTTATAAAAAGGAAAGGAAGACAAAGATAAAATCAAAGAGAAAAGAAGGAAAATAAAAATGTTTTATATAATCAAAGAATTATTGAAATTATTTGAGTGTGTAAGGAATATTTAATGCTGTATACAGTATATTCCAGTTTTGCCTCTCATCTACTATTTTTGAAATGTCTATCTCTCCTCTCTCTCTCTGAATAGAATTGCTATAGTCTCTCATAAGAATGCTTTTTCATGCAAATTTTGCATACTGTCTACTCATCACATCATTCTTATGGTTAACATGACTAAAACCTCCACCCATAACTATTATATAAATCAATAGGTGTGGTAAAAGAGACGTTACACAATGCGTTAATTCGCTCCAGTTTCAGGTCTGTTTATGAATCAGTAAAATGCCGAGTCAACCAAAAGGGTGCATATATACAGTCTATACAGTATATATATATATATATATATATATATATATGCAGTTATATGTATAGAGAATATATTTAGATTTGCACACTTGTATCTACACGCAACAAATCTAGCTCGAGGAGACATGATAATGAATGAAATAACGATTACTTTGCAATCAAAGAATGTAGGAAAGAGACTGGGAAAAGGGAATAGAATAGGAATAATGTTCCGCTCGTTAAAAAAATATGCCAATTTCTATTAACAGCTACATTAAAAAAATAAGAAATGCTATAACGCCAGATGATGGGATAGGCTTAATCAAGTGGAAAGAAAGAATGAAGGAGAAAGAGAAAGATATATATATATATATTAATTAAAAAAGAAACTCTTGCTGGGGGTGTTATAGACCTGTTTAACGTTTTATTATTATTGCTTTATCTCATTGGAGATTAAAAAACAGTAAGAGGAGTTTCAAGAAACGAGGAGGGGAGGCTAGCGAAGAAGTGATAAAAAAAAGAGAAATACAAGAGGCCAGTTAAGAGACAGGAGAGAGATGAAGAGAGAGCGAGAGAACAAAATCATTTTTCATTAGAAATATACCCAAAAGAAAATACAAACTCCTTTAATTACGTATAAAAATCAATTAGTTTCCATTGAAAACGCTCTCAAAAAATGGCCTAGAAAATAGCCTACTAATTATATTCTAAAATAATTAAACTAGAGATTGTAGATCGCCCTTATACACCATCATACTTATATAGCCAAGTTGTTGGCGCCAAAACCAGCGCTGATTTGCGTCATTCGTTGCCAGGGGATACCAACAGCACAGGAAACGATGACGTAAGCAGAAATTTTAGCATGACTTTTTCTTTACTAGTTTCCTGAACGAAATGGCCGCGTAAAGGGAGGGAAGATCGCAACTTGGAAGAAAACATCACAAAGAGGGTCCAGGGCCATATTTTGAGAAAGAAGATGGTGATGGCTGCCCCCCCACTTCGCGTCGGATTCTTCGAAATTCAAAAAACCATCGGCAAAGGAAATTTTGCAGTCGTCAAACTGGCTAGGCATAGAATTACCAAGTCCGAGGTAGGATTAATAAAGGATTAATAAGATTATTTAGGACTGATTAATTATCAACGTAGTGTCTTATTTATAAGGTGGATGATAGGATAAATGTGGCGATATTGCACAAAAAATGAGTAAAAACATCTGTGCAGTATACTCTCTCTCTCTCTCTCTCTCTCTATATATATATATATATACAGTATATAGTATACTTGTATATTTAGAGTACATATATATCCTTTTCACCACTTCGTCAACCACCTAATCATAAGGGAATATAAATAGAGAAGAAGAGAAAGGGGAAATAGACTAAATGACTTAATTATGATTTTGTTCAGGTGGCAATAAAGATTGTTGACAAAACTCAGCTGGACGAAACAAACTTGAAGAAAGTCTATAGAGAAGTTGAGATATTAAAGATGCTGGATCATCCGAATATCGTTAAATTGTATCAGGTATGTAACACTGTTTTCATAGATCTATTCTATATTATTATTATTATTATTTCGCAACAATCTATAATATTTACACAACAATCGAATTCTTCCTTTTATAAAGACTTTAACTAAATTGCCTTTTCGATTGCTTTCATTCCATTTATCCCAACTATTGACATCCTCCTTTTATATTCTCTTCCTCTTTTCTTTATGTACTATTTGTCCGCTTTCCTTCCATCCTCTTTATTCTCCTCTTCGCCGTAAGCTTCACCCTCTCCATCCTCTATCTATGCCCCTATAGACTTGGCAGCTAAACGCGTTTATTCTCTCTTAAAGATACTTATCAATTTTTAGAGTAAACATAATGCGTCTATGTGGAACGTGCTAATGTTTTAGCAATTTTCATATTTAATAAACTTGTTTATCCTTCATAAGGCGAGTAAGAGAGAAGAATAGGATAATTGGGCCTATGTCTGCGTGGCCTATACAGTTATGCGTATACCTAGTACTGTAAATAATATAGTGTATATAAAAAATGTCTAATTATAATGATATTATATACATTTATATATTTGAAAACAGGTAATGGAAACCAAGAATATGCTCTACCTAGTCTCTGAGTACGCGCCTAACGGAGAAATCTTTGGTAAGGAATAGCTTACTCCTTTCGAATCAATTAGGATTAGTTTTCGTAGGACGGGCAGAGTTAAAGTTTAGCCAAATTCTTTTCGTCTATGTGATAGATTCCCTAGGTTAAAATCTCTGCCTATGACCTTTTAGAAGAGATTGAGAGATGGTTGGAAGAAAGAAAGAGGGTGTTTGTGTGTGTGTGTGTGTGTGTATGAGAGAGAGAGAGAGAGAGAGAGAGAGAAAGGGAGGAATATCTTGTGTTTCGGTGACAGAATAACAAGATCGCTAATAGTTTTCTTTCCTTTCTTTAAACCAATATTTTAACTCAATTAATTAATCGATATATACTGCGACATTAATTTACATGGCTAATTGAACATTACTATGAAAATGTTAAAAGTCGGCTTTCTCCTTTTCTTATGTAGATACAAAATGCTTAAATTGTCCTATAGTTTGATTCAGAAAAAGAGAGAAAGAGAGAGAAAGAGAGAGAGAGAGAGAGAGAGAGACAGTGTGGTCTCTTTGAAACACAGATAGAGGTAGAGACTAGGGCCCAACAAGGAAAAGCAAAGGCAAAGGTATATTGAAAGGAATACATATTAGGCTTAATCATAAACGAGAATGGAAAACAGAGTAAGAGAGACAGAAAGGTTCGTTGTCTCAAAAGTAGAATAGTAAACAAAGGAATATCTTTTAAAGAAAATCTCTTTAAATATTCTTAACGCAAACTTAATTTTAAAGGAGAGAAAACAGATGAAGAATAAAAAAAAAGAGGAAAGAAAATGCAAACTATAGAACTTGCTTTAACGGTCAACAAATTGTCGGCGATAGAGCCATAATTAATATATTCTCAATGAGTAATTATCACTTGAAACTTGGGATTTAGCTCTGTATTTTAGATTACGCAATCCGACCTCGAATCAGGACAATAATTCATTAGAAAATTAAGAATAAACCCATATTTAGTTGGATACACCACCAATAAATAAAGCTATTTGGTTCGGTTAGTGATGTAAAGGGTGTTTTTTTTTTGTTAGTGGACAAACAGTCTCGCTGCTTTTGCCAACTGACGTCATAATACTCTAAAACGGAACCCTAATGAGTATCGATCCTGGGCTATGTAGGCTTTAAGTAAAGTTTGACGTCACTCCTGTTTTTTTCGGCGCGCCGATCAATCGAAATAAGTAAAGCAGAGGCAAAGGTTCTGATGACGCCAGCAGCAGCGTCGCTATGGAAACTCGCGTGACGTAAAAGCAGACAAATTTTTTTAGCCAAAAAGTAAGCCTATAGTTTTTTACAGAGTTAAAAATATCAACTACTGGAAAATTTCTGCTCCATTTGCAGAGTCTCAATCTGTGTTTTCTTTGCCCTCCATACGCGCATATACAGCATACGGGGCAACTTATATACACTGTATATGTATATATATATTTATACTGTGTAGCATACGAAACTCGCATATCCATCCCAGACTCTTTTCTATGCATCCTCTCGCAACTCTGCTAACGTCCTTGAAGCAATTCTCTCTATTTTTCCAGAGGTTACCCACCAATTTGACTTGCATCCGAATGGAAAATTCTTTTATCGAAGCTTTTCTTCATTTGAATAATTAATTAACTAATACACGCCAAATAGTTGTGTAGTAGTGATTTATAAATATAGGAAGAGTAGAGAGAAAAAGAGAGGGAACATATAGAAATGATAGAAAAAATATGGTGTTTTTAGCGTTTACAATATCAAAAGAAGACAAACACGTATGATTTAGATACAAATTGGAAGAAAGAGGATAAAAAGCAAGAAGAGCAGTTAATATGAATTAAAAAATAAAAATAAAATTAGATAGGCCTAAAGCTACTCGACCAAAATGAAATGTTACACTTTGGTTACTTCTCCGTCTCCTCCTACTCCTGTTAGGTAAAGAATAAAGAAGATTTTACATAGCTTTCACACTCTCTATTGAAACTGTTATATATTTATCTATCTAATTATATCTCTACGAGAGAAAGCAACATTTTTTCCCTTATTCGACGCTTTTTAAATATAAATATAGACTAATCGGCTTATAGGACGAGTAAAGGCATTTTTATTTGATGTCAGGAAAAAATATATAGAATAGACGCCCCTATAAAAATATATCTTTATTAAAAAAGAAGCTGTTGCATTTAATTCTAGCCAAAAGGGATAAGATAAAAGAGATAACGAAAAGGGAGAGCATGCATTAACTGTTTATTTAAATAGGGAGACAATCCATTTAACCTTTCTTACCGGAATTTTTGGAATAAAGAAAGAGAGAAAAGTAACTATTATAGTCCAAAGCCACTTAGTCAAAATTATAAAGTGCTGTCTTTCTGCTAAAAGGAAACTAAATTTCAATGCAAACAATTGTATATAGTTAATATATTATGAATGTATAATTATAAATATATCTATATATGTATATATAGATATATTCATTAAGCCCTATTCACTCCAAAACAAGATAGAGTATACGTATACTGTGCAATATATACAGTTTATATATATATTAGTATATATATATATATATATATAACGTTATATACACACTGTATACACTTTTTTTATCGTATAAACAGTTTTGTCTTTTTATAGAAAGTGTTGGATTGACGTCATTTTTTCTATTTTTTGCCAGAAGGCTGATTAATATTTGAATTCAATTTTACGTTAGCTAAAGTCAGAGATTTGCCAATCGGCTCAATTTAATTGCGTAATTAAACGCTATAAATATTTTTTATTATTACTTCCCATTCCTTTCTCTGTTAGTAAATATAGTTATTATACCATATTTTATTTATTATAACTATTTATAGAGAGAGAGAGAGAGAGACAGTTCTTCTCTAATAGTTAAAAATGAAATTCCGGCGTCATTTTTGCTAAGAGAAGCAAAAAAGAAAAAATCTATTATAGTCCATTTTTTGCGAAATTATGGTTCAAAACTAGTTCATTTGTATTTGTCTTCTCCGTGAAGAAGATATCGCCTTTCGAGGCATTTTATACGGGGCATGCCATAGTTATTGACTTACCCTATTTAATTTCTATAATTACTACATGTTTGTGCTGAATATAACGTAATTTTATAAATTCTTTATGTACTGTACACAACTTATCGTATACTATTATTTATGTACATTTTGATTAAATAATTGATTAATTGATTAACTAATTAATTAATTAATTACATTTTTTTTAACAGAATACATCGCTAAACGCGGCCGAATGAGAGAAAGCGACGCTCGACGAACCTTTATTCAAATACTTGCAGCTGTTCAATATTGTCATGATAAGAATATTGTTCATCGTGATCTAAAGGCGGAAAACCTACTTCTAGATTCAGATAATAACGTTAAATTAGTGGATTTTGGATTTGGTAACTTTTATACAAAGGATGCTCATCTGAAAACTTGGTGTGGTTCGCCACCTTATGCTAGTCCTGAAGTGTTCCGGGGTCAACAGTATTATGGCCCGCACGCCGATATATGGAGCCTCGGCGTTGTCCTATACGTTCTAGTCTGTGGAAGTTTACCGTTTGATGGCGAAAGTCTTGCAGCTTTGAGAGAAAGAGTTTGCGCAGGTAGATTTCGAGTTCCTTTCTACATGTCCACCGAATGCGAGAATCTCATTAAGAAAATGCTTGTTGTCGACCCTTCGAAAAGGCCAACTTGCAAACAAATTCGGCAACACGAATGGATCAAGATGAACTCTACTGACGAGATCAGTGAAGAGGAACCTCCACCGTCCACCGAATATAATGAAAATATCCTCCGTATAATGCATGACCTGGGCATTGATCGGCAAAAAACTATCGACTCTTTGGACTCCAAAGCCTATGATCACTTTACGGCTATTTACGCCCTTCTTGTCGAAAAGCAACGTCGTCTCGCTAAATCTGGAGCGTTGGATTCGGACCCACGCCATAGACGTCCATCGGCAATTGCTGATCAAGCTTTACGCCAAAAAACTCCTCTAGTCGATACGAGAAAAGGTCCGTTCTCGCGTACAACCGATTGCATAACTCCACTACAGCAGCGCAACATACGTGCTTATGCCGGTATCAAAAAGGAAAAGGTGACAACAACACCCGCAGCTTCGATTGACGAAGGATGCGAAAGTTGCGCGGCTAATAGCCAAGCATCCGTTCCGGCCTCGCTGGCTCAAAGCCGAGATAGCTCGATGGACAGCGCAATGGACATTTCATCTCCCGTTTCAACGGCAATGCCAGAGTTACCACCTCTCTCTCCAGTACCCGAAACAGGTCCTCTAAAATGCCCTCTTTCGGGGAAAGTTCTAGATCCGTCACAATTTCGCGAGCCACACCCTACGCATGGTAGCACACAGGAGGGAGGAAGTACGTCATTTTCCTCCTCCTCTCCGCCGCCTCCTTCACCTTCTTCTTCGTCGTCATCTTTCAAGGAAGGACGCCGGGCATCCGACGGTATATTGTCTTTGGGCAGCGGCTCTTCGGCATCACCTCCTCTCGGATCACCAAGGCTCGGAAAAGGCCCCATTCAGACTGCGCAGTGGCCCTCTCAAGTATGCCAAAATTCCTCCCACCTATCTCAACTCGGTCCGATGCCGAGTCTTCATAGGAACCTGCAAAAGCTGCGCATCTTTGATTCACCACCATCCCAACATAGAGCGTCTAGACGCCCAACTTGCGATAGCTTAAAAGAAGAAGAGGGTTGTAACTCTAGTAGCCCTAGTACCGATAGTTAGGACATTGTAGAACAAACAAGCAAAAAGTCAAATTGGATGAAAGAAGATAAATAAGAATATCCTTGAATCACTTTTTTTTTCCAGTCTCACTAGAAGTTTGGCGTTGCTGGTTCGACGCCTCAATGAAAAATAATAATAATAAAAACACATAAAAAAGATAATGTGCCATAAAAGAAGATTTCATGCAAAAAAATGAAAAATTGAAAACCAGAACAAAAAAAATGGAACAGATAAAAACAAAAACAAAAAAAAACACTCATTCGAAAAGACTGTTGTGCACATGGAAAAACGTATTCGCTCTCTCTCTCTCTCTCTCTCTCTCTCTCCCTCCAACTCTCTAATTCTCACAGCTTATCTAACTCCTCTCTTTTCTATCTCTCTCTCTCTCTCTCTCTCTCTCTCTATGGCTATACCTCTTATTCTTTGGAAGAAAGGAAAAAAAACATTATCGTAGAGGCGATTCTTTAGTGCATTTATTATACAAAGAAAGCTACAGGCCATTTCTAATTGAAATAGAACTGTTTATTTATTTATTTATAAAATTTTCGTATGAATATAAAAAAATAACTAAGGGCTATTTTCAATTTTCTCTCTTTTATTTCTTTTTTACTTTTCACCGCGTACGACTCTTTCTTTCTCTTCTTCCTCTTCTTCTTCTTTTGTATCCTATACCTATAACTCTAGAGAAAGCAGAGGCGGAATAAATCAACGTTTTTCCACCTCCCTTGGCCTACTTTGTTACGTCCATTTGTAAGATAGTGTATTATAAAGGCAATAGAAAATGTCGGTCAGTCTCCTAAAAGGAAAAACAGTAAGAGAAAACAAAGGATTAAATATTCTTGACAATCTATTTTCGTTTGTAGTTGTTTGTTTTTGCTGTAAAGTAAAAATAAACAAAGAAATAAATTCCTAGAATTACTTGTTCAATCATTTTGCTTTTTGAATGCTAGAGTTTAAACATTGTATTACTTATATATCTTTATTCGTTCAAGAAGAGAGAGAAACAAAAGGAACATACATATACATATATGTAGAGACTGAATTACAAGATAACAAGGATAAAAAGAGAAAAGAGAAGATAAAAATTTTTATTCAAAACATCACAGATAACTTTGATTGGCCTTGTTTATCTTTGAATATATAAATATATATATTTAAAAATGTATACATGGAGATACATATGTGTGTATAATGTACTTTAGCAAGCACTTCTTTTCAATTGAAGTTTGTTTGGTTTGTATGTGAAAACATTAAAGATATACGCCTTGTTTGTTTTGGGGTTTTTAGGATAACTACTTGAAAAAAATCTTCTTTCCTGTTCTAATTAGATAAAACAATAAAAAACAAAAAGTATCTTTGAATATAAATGACCAGATAACAAAAATAAGGAGAAGGTAGGAGCAGAAAGGTGGTTTCTCTCTTTTCAACTTTCGTAAGTTTCTTCAGTTAAGCTGAGTTCATCTAATTCCGACTATAAAGGATAAGAATAAAAAAAGAAACAGATTAATAATACTGCAATACTGTAATTTATAGAAAGCACATAAAAAATAACATTTAATTTAATAGACTATAGTCAGCAGAGGAAGGAGAAAAGTGGAATGGAAGGATAACGCGGAAAAATGAGCACAAATTACAAATCGTCAAAAACAGTCAGCTCTTTGCCCGCAGTGTTTTCGAATAGGAATATGGAATAAATAGATTGATTGATCAACGAAAATATGGATGGGTGGAGGGCTTGATAGATGAATGATTGGGTGAAGAAGAGTTTAGGAGGGGATACGACGAGGAATAGAGATAGAGAGGGAGAGGGAGAGACGTACCTTGTTACTGTGTTTTTTGTAAAATAGTTTAATATAAAGGTAAGCAATTAATGAAAATTAATAAAAGATTGTTAGCGTTATTGATATCTTTTGGTAAATTCCTTATCAATTATCACTTACGTTTGCGGCGCCACCTCTCGAAGCAGGTCTTTGGCGAACGCCTCCACTTGATCCACTCAGGGATGGATCAGAATCCCATCTTTCAAGTTCTTCTCTAACTAAACGTTCCATCTGTTCTCTTTTCTCCTCGTCGTTACCACTTTCTGTTATACTATCTAAAATTTTGCTCATTGTTTCTCTTCTCTTACTCTTTGCCCTCTCCATGGCTTCTAATTTGACAAGTACAGCGTCTATTTTAGATACAATAGAACCAATAGAATGCTCCATTCTGTCTACTCGTCTTGCGAGTACTGTGAACTCTTCGAAAGAAACCCCCGATACAACTCCTCCACTACCACCTCTATGACCTCTGAGATCATCTTCCTCACTAGTTTCAGAACCCATACTACTTCCGGGTCTGGCAGTTTTTGGTCTGGATGATAGCGGTCTTTCGCCACCTTCAGCATCTGCTAAATCGCTGTTTAATTTCTGCTTTTGACCTTCCAAGTCAGCCTGCATTCTCTTCTGTTCCTCTTCATCCAAGATTCTATCGCCGTCCAAATCGTATTTAGCGAATACAGCTTCGATTTCTGCTTCGGCATAGCCTCTAGTCTTTAGATCTTGTCTCCATTCATCAAAGTCCAATTGTTTATCCTGATTAATATCAGCCGATTGTAGAGCCTTTTGGATATCGATTATCTTGTCTCTCTTGATGTTTAATTTCTCCAACATTCTATCGTAGCCCTTCTTAAAGTAATCAGCCATTTCGAATTCGTTAGTTTGGTTCGAAATATCGGCTTTAACTTCCGAGTATGTATCGTTAATAATGGCCAAGAACATGTTGAGTAGTACGAAGAAAACGAAGAAAACGTACAAGATGAAATAGATTGGACCGAGTACTCTGTTGGCTGCTTCCAACTCGTGGAAATTGAAATCACCCAAAATAATTCTAAATAGAGTAAAGATAGAACTTGGGAAGGATGAAAAGTCCTTAACTTGTGTGCCAAAGATCAAATAACCGAGTTGGGCAAATGCCAAGAAAACTATAAAGAACATGACGGCGAACCCGGCCAAATCCTTTGCGCATCTTGCCAATGTGGAGCTGAGTTGAGTCATGGTTTTATTAAATGAAATGTACTTGAAGACTTTAACCCAAGCAAAGAAAACCGTGATAGCAATTGCGCTGTTGAATTGAACTTGCCAATAGGAAAGGAATTCAAAATCAGGATATTCTTCCGGTTTCTTTAGCAAATCATTTAACATCTTATTAACTTTGATCGTTCTATAAATAAGATAAAAATATATTAATTAGAGAGGAGACTATCATCTGAGGGAGAGAGAGAGAGAGGGATAGGGATTTCTTACCTGTAAATGTTAAATGCTACACAAATAAGGGAAATGATGATGACAAGTATATCAAGAATATTCCAGAAGCTCTTAAAATAAGAAAATTTTAGCTTCTTTATCTCCAAGGCTTCTTCAACGATGTAATAACAAATGAACAGGCAGAAAATAGCTTCGCATGCCAAGACAAAGTAATCTCCAACGGTTACGTAACGGATAAGTTTGACAGTTCTAAAGTTCCAGGAAGGTATAGCACCTCCAGTTGCTGGGAATTCTATTAGTAATCTTATAACGCAAAATAGGTTGATGTTTGCGTTATAGACGCTAAAATCTATAAAAACTGCTCTTGTTCCTCTATCCAACCAAAGATTGTCCTTAAGTTCTTTAATAAGTTCATAGGATTTAACTTTGGTAGTTCCTAAATTTTGTACGTAGCCACCGCCTCCGTATCTACTGATAAGACCCCAATGGGACGATCCGTCCAATTGCTCGTCAGTATGATATTTCCATCTATGGAAAACAAACAATTACGATTAGGCGTTTATAAAAACTATATATATAATATAGATAAAACTAACGCTGATCCATTCATCTTGCCGAAGGGTTCTTTGTCCTCAATGCTTTTTGCGTAGCTGTCATAGCAGGCCTTGATCTCATTTCTAAAATCGTCATGAACAGTACAGGAATCGTTTTTAACCTTGGAAAAAACAAGAGGAGAGAAATGATAAAATACGCTTAGAACTCTATGAATACAGTATATTTACCTTTAATTGTCTAATCCTCGGTACTCCTAGTAGTTTGTTCTCGTAGAAAATATAGCCTAATTCTTCGTTGGTGACATTTTTACCGTTATACCATTGTTCCCAGTAGAGTCCGCTGACAAGAGGTCCTTCGGCAAACTAATTTTAGTAAAAAATTCCAGGAATTACACATCAACTTATTGGATACAAAAAAAAATAAATATTACTAATGTATATGCATCTTAAGATGAATAACAAAAGGCTAACAAGGGCGAAGGGGTTAAAGGATTTAGGTTAAAGATGAAACATATAAATATGCGCTTTATACAAAGAGGAGGGGGATGACGGAGAAAAGATTAATTAGTTGTCTAATAAACTCTTTTTTAAGTGAATGTTATGTTTCCTATAGAAATTGCATCGCGCGCCAAAATGACAGGGGAAATAAACATAAAAGGAGCTGTTTTATGGGTAAGCGATGAGCATTGCGCCAAGTTACCCTCCACATATCGGCCATAGTCGTCATTCCCCTATAATTGTTCTTCGTATCAGCAAAACTCGAATCAAGGAATAGTTCGCTCATTACTTTCGTATAATAGTACATTGTCGAACTGGTCATACCGAACGTTACTGTAAACCGAATGACAAAGTGGTTAGTAAGTTCAAGAAAAATATAACTACCCGCCAAAAATCTTTTACAGTTGTCATTCCCCTGAAAGCGTTACGAGTTTCTTCAAATTGAGCGTCTAAAAACAGCTCGCTCATTACTTTTGTGTAGTAATACATTGTCGGACTCGTCATACCAAACGTGACTGCCATGATATAAAATAATTAAAAAAAATCATTCTCTTTCTTTACAGCTTTAACTAAAATTCTTTTTATATTAATATTCTAGCAAATCATCCACTCTCTTCCCTTCCCCCTTTTCATCATCATCATCATCATTATCATCTTCTTCTTCTTCTTCTTCTTCTTCCTACTCTTCTTATAGTAATTCTTAAAAGTTTAAACGTAATAGGAAAGGCTAAAAAATATTTTTTTTCAGCTGCCATCTGTCGGATTGCGTCTCTCTTTCACTCACTTCTTTTTTTATTTGAATAAAGTTTTTGTTGAATTTACTCGGTTGAATGTTGTATAATTATCTTTATATATAGATATATAAATACATTCAATATTTGCCTTACCTACACACAAAACGACCAAGAAAACGATGTAGATTATCAATTCTCTTAGGGTTGTCTTTACGTGTAGCTCCTTGTCCTTTTTCGTATCTTCCGTTTGTCTTGTAGCCCATAACGCTAGAGGAGAATTACCATTACTATTTGTTATAACATTCTATCAATAGGAAAATATATTGGAAGGATAAAACTGCAAAAAATAGATGACAAACTTCATACTGACAATCAATTGTTCAAACAAAAAAAGACGTTAGTTCATATCGATAACGGGCGTCAAAAGAGAGAAAAACTTGTTTGTAATGAATAACTAAATCAATAATAAATCAATAAATGTCTTTCTTTTATTCAAAAACATTTTTTCTTTTTGGTCGATTCGTAAAGGACGACGCCATTTTAGTTTTGGTTCAATTTATTAATTTTCCTTGCAAATTTTCGATATCCGCTTTTCAAAGAATTGTTCAATTATAGTCGCTAAATAATAGATGAAGATTGAGTTGATTTGATTCTATCTTATTAATTATTCATAGATTTTTAATAACTAAAATAAAAGGCTTATATTGAATTGCGATTAAACTGTACATGTCCTCATGAATAAATTTAATTAATCAATATCTGAATTGATTAAGCGATAGTCTAATGATGGTATATTCTAAAGAATAAGGTCATTTCCTCATATTCAATAAAAAGAGAAAGAAAGATAGATGTTGAATGTATTGATTATCTTGCATTTATCCGATCATTAGATCATTATTATTATTGTTCCTATTGATTTTGGCTATGTCTATTCTCTCCTCTTATCACCGAATGCATGCTTCATGTAAAAGACTCTTACTTTTATGATAAAACTATACCTTGATTGATATTACATATTTTAAAATCTTTTAACTTTATATCATAGGTTCTCTTTCTTTCTCTTTCTCTTTCTCTTTCTCTTTCTCTTTCTCTTTCTCTTTCTCTTTCTCTTTCTCTTTCTCTTTCTCTTTCTCTTTCTCTTTCTATCTACCTATCTATCTATCTATCTATCTATTTATCTATCTCTCTTTGTGCATGCTACAAGTTGTTCATGTTACTATTTCAATTTTGTTTTTAGTTTACTTACATCTAACTGCTCTGGAGAACATGTTACAGCAACCAGACTTGGAATCTCTTGCAACAACGGGTTCGGGTCTCTCTTCCATTTGCACAGTTCCTTGATAGAGCTATAGGATAAAGAAGATAAATATATTTTTACCGTTGTTTATTATGTTATGATAATTTAGTTAAATAAAACTGTTACACAAACATAAAAATGAAAGAGAAAAATGAAAGAAAAGAGAAAGTTTTTCTTATTACCTCGCTTTCCATCGGAGCATGCATATCTTCTTCTTCGTTTCGGAATCTTGGGTTGTCGACTCCATCGTCCGACCAGGCTTGCCTGCTTTGGGCAGAGCCGGGACGTTGGTTCGAAGCAGAGCTTAGCTGAGCACGGGATCGTGAACTTGCTGGACGAGTTGCCATGATCAAGTGACGTTTACCTCAAAGCTAGACGCTTATTTGAACAGCGTTCGATTCCTATTCACGTCATCATAGTTGTCAAGGGAGCGGGTCGAAGGCGTCTCTTTTATATATTTTATTTTATTTTACAGTTAATGTTACGGTTTATAATCTATAATCCAAATCGATTGTTTTTTTGAACGAAATCGTCGTCAGTTAGGAAAGTAGCTCGTGTGATTTCAATAACTTGTATTATAAGTGATTTCAATGCTTTATCTGTCTATGTGTAGGGGGAGGGGAATAATAGATAGGCCATTGCTAACCTCTTTATATCTTTTTTACTTATTTTGCAATATGATTTTGTTCATACTGAACGTCTTTCTCTTCTGTAGCGCAGCCTGTAAATACTTCTCTTTTAAAGAGACCACGCTAGGTCCCGATCTATTGAAGACCCTGGAACTATTCTAACAATTTTTACAGGATATTCTCATCATTTAAGCCATATATCCGCCCTCTTACGTATAGTAGACCAACGCCCTTTATAGCTTTTTTCCTTTCATTTGCGGAACACCTGTATACAGTATATATATCTATATAAATTTATATATCTGTCGATTATGTCGTTAAAATTTGGGCATTTTTTTCAAATAAATACAACAGGTGGCGTTCCAATAAATCATCTACGCAGGCAGGACCAAGAGATAATTTTAATGATTGTTTTTAAGTCGCTAATTGTAAATAAAGTACATATTGTATATTTGTCACATTCGTTAAGGTTTCATTAAGAAGAAGCATGATGAATAATCGAAAAGAGAGAAACAGAAACAGTTTACCAGACTGAACAGCGTAGGAGTTTTGAATGATTTATCAAGAACTGTTTGTTCCTTTTTTATATAAAAGGAATAGATTCGACTCGCCTTAAGTATTCATTAACGATCAAACTAATTGCTTTATAAAGTATAGATAAGATTTTCAAAACGATATATTAGACAAATACTGCTTTAATTACAATTCGCGTTTAATTCTATATCACCGTTAATTGAGTCTATTTACCTTTCAATACGTCTTTTGTCATTAACTTTTATTTATTAATTATTTTTTATTGTTTACATAAACTTAACCTAAAAATATAATTTCTTAATCATTAAATCTTCTCCTCTTATTCCTATTATCATTTGAAAATGAACCATTGCCATAAGGTCTTTTCCCGCCGTTTCCTGATCGAAAATTACCATTCTTTCTACCAAAACCACCGCCGCCACCACCTCCTCTTCTGTCCATTCTATTCCTATTCATACCGCCTCCTCCAAAACCTCCTCGTGAGAAACCTCGTCCGCCTTGACCTCTGTCGTAGCTTTCTTTTGAGGGCTCTATGATATCTGGTAATTCTGTTGCTCTTTCGAGAGAGTCATACTTTCCGTCAGTCCATCTCTCTTCGATGTAATGAATAAAATTGGAAGAGACGTCAAAGACGCAACCCTAATGTAAGCAAAGATATTATTAACTAGTTAAACGAGCGTTAAAGAGATATGTCAATTTACCATTTTGTCAGTGGTAAATCTCATTTCGCGTACTCCCTCCCGAACACTTGTTCCAAGCCTCCTTTCTAAACTCATGAAAACGTAGCCTGGTCCTCTTATTTCCATATTTGTTTTAAAATAATATGTTCGACAGCCCTTAGCTGACGTCAGTAAGCTCCTTTCTTCGACATTCTTCATTCCGGATATCACTGCTAATGCTCTAGCCAATTGATCGACCGCATCCTTTTCTTCTAAAATGCCTGTGGCAGCTTCTTTAAATTTTTCTAAAACTCCCTCATCGACACTTTCTAAAGATTTAGCTGCGTCCTTGGCTGCCGCCGTTACTAAGTCATTTAAAGTTGGAGCTCCTATCCTCTTAAACTTAATCCCTATGAAATTAATTAATTATTATACCAATTGACAGGCATTAAGAATTTGAGAGATATAGTTAAATCAATACGTTAATATATGTATACATATAACTCCCTTTACCTGCTTTCTGTTCCACTATTCTTAAATCCGCCAGCGCCCTTGGTTTATAAAAGCAAACACATGCACCAGACCTTCCGGCTCTCCCTGTTCTTCCTGATCTATGAATATACGAGTCGACATCTTTTGGTGGCTCTAATTGAATAACTAAATCGACTTCAGGTATATCTAATCCACGGGCTGCTACATCTGTTGTAATCAGGACTTTATATTTTCCTTCTCGAAATCCGGCTAACACCATTTCTCTTTTATCTTGAGGAATATCACCATGCAGAACATGACATTCTTGGCGTATTGAAGACGATACGGTTAACTCGTCAGCATCCCTTTTTGTTGGAGCGAAAATCATAGCCCTTCCGTGTTCACCACTATAAAACTGTTAAAAGAGAATAAAAAAGCTATATTTTATAAATTAAAGGTAAAATATATTTACCTGTAAAACATCACCAACGGTTGCTGCTCGGTCTGAATAATTACATTTTATTGCTAAATGTTGCACAGTTTCAGCCGTTCTATTTACTCTTCTACCAACCATATCAACAACTTTATAGTTGTCAGTCATATATTTTTTGGCTGTTTTGTAAACCCAATCGGGAGTTGTTGCGGAAAAGAGTAATGTTTGTGGATTTTTTGCAGATTCGTCATTCAAGTCGTAGGCAAATTTTAAAACTTCCTCAACGATATCAGCAAATCCCATATCAAGCATCCTATCTACTTCGTCCAGTACAACGTGTTTAAGTTCATGCAATTTTAATGTCTTCTTTTCAGCCAAATCTTTTATTCTACCAGGAGTTCCAACGACAACATCTACACCCCTAGATAATTCTCTTTCTTGTTTCTCATAAGGGACACCGCCGTATATACTCATTACTTGAAGATTATCGCTAAGACTCTCAAAATTATCAGCAACCTGTTTTGCTAATTCCCTAGTGGGGACCATAACTAATATCCTAGGACATCTACCCCTTTTAGAAGAAGGCTCAAGACGTTCGACTAAAGGTAAAGCAAAGGAAAAAGTTTTTCCACTTCCTGTTCTAGATTGAGCAATGACGTCATTACCTAGAGAGAAAGAGAAAAATAATTAAAATAGTATAAATCTATATTCAAAATAAATCTCTAAATATGAAAATGGTTAAGTATAATACAGATCCTAAATGAAAACAGAAACATTGGTTATATGCATAATATATGTAAACAGTAAAAGGCTTTATTCATATAGTGATTCATGTTTAGTAGACAACGTTGCAAAGAAAAAAAAGGAAAGGAAAGTCAGGCATAAAATCCCTATTAAAAGGAGGGCAGTATTATTTATAGAATAGAAAGAATGATTCATTTCCCTATAATTCTTGTTTAGTAACAAGAGAAGAATAGAAAAAAAAACTTGGAGATATGTGGTTTTACTTTACTAAGAACAAGGGAAGAAATACTAAAAAACTTACCGTCGTAGACAATGTCAAAGGTTTTTACTTGTATTGGAAAGAGATATTTAATACCCAAACTCCTAAGCTTGTTCTTTGTATCAGGACATATTGAAAAATTGTCAAAATCTCCTTCTTTCTCTTCAATTGATAAGCTATTATCTACGTCTTCCTCTGCATGATTATGATTACCATTATCCTTATCATTCCCATTTTCCAATTTCTTCTTTCTCTTCTTATCATTAGCGTTCACTTCCTCACCATTAACCTGTATATAAAATAGAGATGCATATGTAGACAAATGAGAAAAGAGGTCAACGTATTATCTCTTAACCCAGTGTTTAAGTTAGTCAACATTTAAGACGCAATTAATGAATTTCTATGGAAAAAGAAAACTGGTAATAAAGAACAAAGATTAAGATTAAAATAGTGATTTAATAAGTAATACATTTGTATTAGATATATAGAAGAGACGTATTTACCGTTCTCTTTATTATTTTAGCGATTAGACAATAGCTTCTACAAAATGAAGTATAGCAGTTTCTAATCTACTCATTATGAAATAGCTTCCCACGTGTTTCTAGTAAAACGACGTATTATCCCTCATATTCTATTTGATTGAACGGTAGATCACTTACCTTTCTTTTTGAAAGTTTAGATATTTTGCTAGAATTTTTATTTTCGCTTTCTCTTTCAATTTTCATTCCGGAATTTAGGTTTTTTAATAAAATAAAACTTTCCTTGGCTATTTCTACAAGTTTCGATTATATCGAAAGTGTTTTCCCTATCGGAAGTTGAATGACGTCACACATGAGTTTTTTCTCGTATAATAAATATTAATATTGTTTATTAGAATTTCTATAATAAGCTAAGTATAAATAAAAACGAACCATATTTATACGAAATATATAAATAAATATTAATCAACCCCCTCAACGCAACCTAGCGGCAATTTGTAATATAAACAAAATGGCCACCTAAATAATTATTTAATCTGAGTTTCGCCGCCGAAAAACGTACACTAACAGAATCATGAACGCAGTAAAGAGTTGCGGAATCTTCTTTTTATATTCAATTTTATTCTTACAGGTAAGATTTAGTATTCCAATGTTCTCTTTGACTGGATTAATTACTGTTCTGGACATATCATTGTTATGCAAAATGTATATAAACCACTTTGTTTTTCGTTATACCTGCTTTAACTGTAATGATTTTACGAATTTATCATTAAGGAACCATTATATAGTAATTTTGCACGATTTTCGATAAGAAAATTATAGAATATGAGAGGATAATTAGCTATACAGTATGTTCATTATTACTAATCGTATATGGAAAAGGAGAGGAGATAGGAAAAATGGAAGGCGGTATAATAAGAGGGAAGAACCGGTTTAAAAGTTAAATACATATAACTAAGTAGAAAATGGCATAAATATTATTGATGAGTTTTTCTAGGCTAATCTAAATATGGAGTAGAAAGTATCCATGAATAAAATAGGAATCTGAATCCTTTAAACACGAATGAATAATACTGATTATGATAATATTTAATAGGCAAGAGGAAAGAGAGTTAAAAAAGGATTCTTTTTTATCGTATAGTTTCTTTTTGGCTTTGTACTTGAATATTATTTTCATATATTCGGCCTGAGAATATGATATATATATATACTTTTATTGCTGCTATCTCTCTCTCTTTCTCTCTATATTCCTCATTCTGATTACTCACTTGTTTTATTATACTTGAAATTGTATTTGCTTATTTATCAAACAATAAACTAATTGGTTATAACCCTATTAAAATTTTATCTACTTTTAGGTCTATTCTTCGGAAAATGAACCGATGGTAGCCTTTACGTGCGAGGCCAAAAGGCCAGCCGTCTATAAACTGGATAATGGCTGGAGAAAGGATCGTACAGTTGGATGTTTGAAGGATGCAGTAGAAATTCTAAGATTTTGTAAAAAATCTTTCCCCAATTTGGCAATTTTTAACGTGGTTGAAGCCAAAGAAGAAGAAAAGATTGATGTGTGGTGCAAAAGCGGAAAGAAAAAATGTTTAGCTGAAAGGGTCACCAGACCTTTCAGGTGTCTCGGTATGCAAATATACAAATAATTGTCTGACAAAAAAGGAGGGGGGGATTTTATCGACCCATTTCTTATATTGGTTTTTATTTCTTTTATTCTTCTAGTTGGGCCATTCCAATCAGACGCTCTTCTTGTACCTGATAAATGCGCATTCGATCATGAACACAACCCACATATATGCGCAAATAGCACTAGATGGAAAAAGATAGCCGAAACAAGATGCCACCAACGAGAAATGATGTTCCACGATCACGCGATACTTCTCCCGTGCGGCTTAGATGCCTTTAACGGCGTCGAATTTGTTTGCTGCCCTAAAGCCGGTACGTATCCAATCGCGTCTAATGAGTCATGTACTTCTAAGAAAGTAACTTTCATCCAACAATTACACGGTATTTTGTTATCCTCTTTTGCCTTCGACGCTCAGAAAAAACCCCATACAGTCTCCCTTTTACTAGCGGAATGATAGTATCGATTTTTTTTTTTTGGTGCCATTTGCCTTATTTAGGAATAATCCAGTAAAGAAAAGGCAAGGGGGATAAGAGTAATAAAAAAAGGAAAGAAAAACAGTAGTCTATTGAATATTTTCGTAAAAACGAATAACATTTTAACAATTAGTCGAATAACTTATTTCCCCTCTTTTTAGAGCTACGGTTAATGTAAAAGCTATTTTCATTATAGCGTCTAAAACGATAGGCTTAAGCCATTCCATCTAATATGAATATATATATATATAAAGAGAACTAGAGCATGTTATATATTAAACTAAATATGATAAAGTGTATGCTATATAGGAAAGAAGGGCCATGTGTGTGTGTGTGTGTATGTGTCTGAGTGTGTGACAGAGAGGGAAGTAACGAATGAGAAATAATATTATTAAAGCAATAAGATATTGAAAAGAGAAAAGTAAAGAACAGTCTTTTTTACAGCAATGTGTTGTATTTATATAGGATTTTTTTCATTTTAAAATTAAATATATAAAATAATCTATTTCTTTATCATCTCCTTTTGTTAGTTTTACTTCATTAAAGAAAGAAATGTAAACAATAGATAACTATATTATTAATGATACTCTTTTAGTTTGTCTAGAAGGCGTCTAAAGAACATAGGCTGATTGTTTGATTGTATTTTAGATGATTGATAAATTAGAGGAGAATTTCTTATCTAGCCACTCTGATCGAAAACGTATTGTAATTTAACAAGTAATTGCATTTCGATCATTCGAACAAAATTGATCCATTTTCCTGGTTTATAGGACTAAAGCAATTTTCTAGTTGTACCCTTGAGGAGACGGTTTATCGATCATTTCTTAGCAAAACTGTACATTTTTTGTTGTTGCAGCTAAGACTGATTTGAATACTGGAGAAGATAAGAAGGTTACCGATGGAGAGAAAAAGAAGGATTTATATCAAGTAAGTTGAAATTTCTTTTACCAAAATTACAATAATTCAATTATATATTCTATTATACCAGTCATTTAAGTGATTACGTAAATTACGTTGAAGCAATTAACCTATTATATCTTTTATAATTATCTCATCTAGGTTTACCTCGAAGATGACTCTCCCTCCGAATTTCGTAACGAACATGAATATTTTATGAAAGCAAAGCATGATCTCGAGAAACAACAACACAAAAAGATAGCCAATATGATGAGGGACTGGACAAATGAACGTCAAAGGGTCGATAGTTTGAAGAAGACAAGAGGACAAGCTGAAATTGACAAGCTTACTCAAGAGATGACAGTTAAATATCAGAAAATCTATACCGATTTAGAGAAAACGTACGCTGAAGAAAAGTCGACTTTCTTGAAGAAGCACGAAGTGCGAGTAGAAAGAAGATTGGACGAAAAGAAACACGAAGCAATGAAGGCTGTCTTAGCAGTTGTTGATAAAAAGAAAGTCAATTATGAAGAGGTCAGAAAGTCCATGGCCAAGTTCATAAGAACGGAGATGAAAGACCAGGAGCATTATATTAATAGGTAGATAAAAGCTTCGTACTCTTAAATTAGCAACTATATATATATACTAATATATATATATATATAAATATACACCAATAACATTGTTTTTCCCTCCCCGTTTTTCCTACATCTTTAGATGGATCCATTTACAAAGAACTGACAAACAAGCGGCCGAAAAAGTTCTAAAACTTTATTTGGATAAGATTGAAATGAGCAACGAAAGAATAGATCAAACTAGATCTTTCGCCATTGATCATCTGAATACGGATGATGCGGAAGAATTAAAACTTTTCTGCGAAGAGTTTATTAAAGAGTACGCTGATGTTGCCGAGGGAAGGCAGTGGATGCTGGCAGCAACCCCACAACCAACGACAGAAAAACCAGTCGAAAAAGAAATTATAGAAAATGTTCCAGACACCGACAAAAAAGATGATGAAGACCTTGACAATAATGATGATGATGATGAATACGATGACGAGGATGATGAAGATTTTGACTTGGATGACGAAGAAGATGACGACGACGATGATGACGAAGATCTTGATGACGACGTCAAGACAAACGATGACGATTTTGACGGGGATGACGATGACGAATTTGATTATGATGATGAAGACGATGATGAAGACGATGAAGGTGATTTTAAACTAGTCGATGGAGATGCAGACAAAAAAGAAGATGCCCCAGCCGAACGATTAAACGGTTTAGATGATGGAGATGACGACGAAGACGATAACGATATCTTTGAAGATACCCGCGAGAAAGATGATGAGTTCGGTCGCGACGACGACAATGTGAGAATGAACGAAGAAGATATAGGAGACAAGTACGTCGATAATAAAGAAATTGAAATGGATAGGATCTCGTCGGCTCATGTGGCAAAATTATCTGCCCATCATCCAGATCGCGTAGTATTGGGTCGTGATGTGGCAACAACCCATAATGCCTGGGTTATCTGCGTTGTTGCATTTGCTGGAGCAGCTATGCTTGGCATTATTGTCGTGGCAGCTGTGGTAAATAATTTTTGAAATTTATATTATTTATCTTTATAATTTATTACTTGTACATAGACTCTTATCTAACGCACTTTAATATATAGATATATACTGTATAAAGTAGATAACATTCTTTCGACCTTGCTTAAATTTTGGTTATTCAATTTATTCCTTCGTTATCCAGATGAAACACAAACGACAAATGAAAAGACAACGAATCGCTCGCGTTGAAGCGGAATCTTGCGTTATGGATGTAGAAAAACGACATTTGACCACAATGCAATGTAACGGATATGAAAATCCGACTTATAAATACCTCGAAACAGGTACCCAATAAGAAGAAAGGGTGAGAAGGAGGAGTAGAAGAAGTTAGAGGAAAAATTCCAACATTTCTTTTTTTTTTTTTTTACAACAAAGGAATTTCTTTTCCCATTATGCTAATCAAATTCTAACAAAAATCCATTTAAATCAAAAATGAATATTTATTTTAAAAAAGATTGGAAAAAAAAATCTATTCATTTTTTTCTTCCCATTTACTATATGACGTGAATTTGTTTGTTTTTTGGTAATTTTAACACTATAGATGTCTGATGTAATGTGTATATAATAATATATATATATACCTCAGACTCTTCTTTCTTTTCGTTTTTTTTGCACTTAAGATTAAACCAAGAAAGAAAACAAACTAAATTAATCAAAACTGAGTTTTTTTTTTTATATCTTTGTTGCTTATACTATATTTTTTTTCTTATATTTTGTTATTATTTTTTTCAATATATCTTTCTCTCTTTCGACTGTTTTTTCTTTTCTATTTTATCTCTTTTTCATTAAAGAGATAAAATAGGAAGAAAATCTCTAAAAGGGAAAGAAAAACATTAATATAATATATATATAAATTTATATATATATATATATATATAACTTACGTGTTGTTTGAAAAAGAGAAAACAATCAATTTATAATCATTAATAATAATTTTTCTTAGTAAAACAAAAAAATGAAAAAGAAAGAAAAATTCAATATAATAAAAAACAAATTTGAACAAAATGCTTAAATCCACTACTCACCCTCTCTCTCTCTCTCTCTCTTCCCCTTTCCACATCAGAATATAAATCTCTACCACCCAAGCCCCCCCCCCCCCCAATTCAAACCTATTGCGTATTAATTAATTAATTCACTGCATTGTAATGTTTTTTTTTCTATGTAGTTTAAAAAGAGATATCTACTTGTCGTTGACTTTCGATAGTTTATGTTAGAAAAAGAGAATGAGAGTAAGAATAAATATAAATTGATATTGAAAGAAATTGTTCTGAAAGAGGGCAAGGGAAGGGGCGAAGGGGAAAAAGGCCGAAAAGCTGATCTATGTTAATGACTTAATTTTATAGGACAATATTAAAGGTTAATTGAATGGCCTGTTTGTTACTTAAGAACATTCGATAAGTTTTTCCTATTGTATTTACTTCTTACTTACTTTTTTTTTATTATCTCATTCTCTTTTTCGCGAAACTATTGTTTATGTAACTACTCGAAAGTCTCTTATATAATTAATAATAACGTAAATATTGTTTCTTTTTCTTTTGGCACAAGTAATAATTATACGTTATGAATTATTTAGAAAAAGTACAATACATTGAGTATATATACAGCATATATACAGTATATATATATATATATATATATATATATATATATATATATATATATATATATATATATATATGTATTAGTATATATAATGTAAGTATATTATGGAAACAGGCAACCGTGTTGAGCATATTCTTTGTATCTATTCACGCTTGTTTTATAATATATATATATATATATATATATCAAAATTTCGTTCATATCACTATATATATATGTATATATATATTGATATATATGTATATATATATTGATATATTGTTATTTTTTTTCTTATTTCAACTGTAGTAGTCTGTCCTAGTTTCATCAAATAACAAAACATAAATTTTACCAACGATGTCTCTTGGATAAAGATTAGCTTGTTAGATAATTAAATGAAAAGTGGAAAAAACAAATATATATATATATATATACTGTATATATATATATATTTATATAAAATCAAGCTTCCTTTTTACATTTCCTTTTCAGCTTTTGTTATTATTACCTTTTCAACTTATTTTTTAAGTTGTATTCAACCTTTATATACATATTTATATGTTAGGTATAAATATGTATATAGATAATATCATACATTATATATACATATGCATTGCATTGATAGTTTACGAGAGATGTAATAATACTATTATTTAATAAAATTGTAGTGATAAATGTAATAATTTATTGTCTAATTAATTAATTTATTCATTCGGGTAGACAATTTGTTGTTCTTACAACTTACCATCAATATGAGATACGTACATATTACCTATTGATAAAAGAGAAAATGATAAAGCAAAAGTTAATAATTGTCTCATGAAATCGTTTCTTGGCAGGAAACGCTTTAGGGATGAAAAAAGCACAGCGCTACCAAAGTTAAACAAAGCGGCTGCAAAACTGCTGAACAACACCCTTTTGTACTTGCTATCCATCTTTAAGTGTTTTCTATTATATAAATATAATCCAATTCCCAGATGACAATTGTACCAAATACATTTTATTAGTAATAGACGTCGATGTGGTTGAAGACTGACGGTAAAAAATTCCATAGAGGTCGAACGTTTATAAGGAACAAAACGAAAATCTGCCTGTAGGCTGTTCTTACCTTCTAAAGATTGGTGAATTAGTTATGTGTAAGGAAAAAATTATATTTGAACCAGCTCCCAATAATGAGAATAACTTTATAGACGCCTTTCCCGGTGACGCTGTGAATGGAAAAAAATTGACGCGAGATATTATCGACATTATTCGCTCTATCTCTCTTCTGCATAGAGATAGAGAGAGAGAGAGAGAGAAAGAAAAAAAAACAATTTCTGTAAGCCTATTTTAACCTCTCTCGCATTTTGCGGGCACCCATATTACCCCAACTCAATCATGTTTACAAACTGGTAACTCTGCAAAAAAAAAAAAATAACTCCAGAGTCCATTGCTTATTCAGACTATAGGCGCATTCTAATGTTCTATTTTAGTCATTCAGTACATTTCCTATAAGTTGTGTACGCAAAAATTGCCTCTCCTGCTTTCGTTCACTCCCTTTTAATATTTTACTCTTCCTCAACCTGTCTATATATTCATAATTTTCAGTGCATAATTGCTAGTTGATAAGCCTACTGTGTAGTTCGAGCAGAAGGTATTCGAGTTCGTTTATTATAAGATAATCAAGTGAAAAATTTCTCTTACATATAAGAAAAATGCAACAGTTTGCAGAAAATTAAAAATAACAACGAAAGAAAAGCTGACGACGACGACGACGCTAATGAAAAACATCTTAAAGGAGAGGAAGAAAGGGGAGAAGATGAGGAGGGAAGGTAATGAAGTAGAAAATGTTAAGATATGGAAATTACTTTGAGAAATCTCAATTTTAAACGTACGTGAGGTAGACTAAGACCACCTGAAAGATAGTTTCACCTTCTCTCATTATCAGCCGACGGTCGTGAGAGATGTTTTTCTTCTTCTTTCTTTAAAAATATATAATAAAGGAGGTCGTTGAAGTTTTCGATTTTTCACTATTTATTATTATTGTCATTGCTGTTATTATTAGTATTTTCGTCATTGAAAATTGCTTAATTACTTTGTAAAAAAAAAGACCTTGACCTTCTTTGTACAATAATGGCGATAAACATGTGCTTACAGATACGAGCTGAGAAAGAGAGAGTAAGTAAATGAGAGAGGTAGAAAGATAGGAAAAGAGAGAGAGAAAGAGAGAGAGAGAGAGAGAAAGAAAGAAAAGATAAAGATAGAATGACTAGAGGTAATAGAAAGAAAAGCGTTTAGTTTAAAGTGAACAGTACAATAACTCGTATTTGAAATAACCCCGTGTTGCCACTTGGACAAGTATACTAACAAGTGCCGCCTGGTGGTTTTTATGCTAAGCTTAAGCCAATTATCACCTATAAATAGGTTGCATATGATACAGGTGATCATAATTTTCGTCTATCATTCATGCATTCTATCATACAGTTATCTATCCATTCATACATTCACCCATCCGTTCTCTAGCAATTTTTCTCAAGCTTTATGCCATTCAACCTTTCAGTAACGACACGATCTATATAAAATAGACGTATTTACTGAAGTACGGTATTCTCTCTTCAAATCTCTTTCTTGTCATGGATGTTTTAGAATTTCATGGCCTGAATTCAGTTTACATCCTACTCTTCTCTTTTTATCCATTAAAGGGGGCGTTTCTTTATTAGAGCATATTTTTTCCTCCATTAATCTTTCTTGGCGAGATAAGATGGCAATTATCATTTAAACTACTTAGTGGGTTTGTTATTAAGGAGATATATGGATAGGAGGATTTATTATTTCTTATTGTTATAGAAGAGAAAAAAGAGTAAAACTCCGTCTGCTTTCAATTAAGTATAATTAACGATTAGAAAACCGCTCGATCGCCCTATTAATCACGCAATAAAACATCAACCGCTACTTAACGTGCCGACCTTTTTTTTACATAGCTCTGTCTCTTTAATTAACCTCTTCAATTATTTACCGGAAATGGTCAAGTTGTAGCCCGGAAATTGAATAAAAACGAAATTTTTTCCTTATCAGCACATCCCTAAGCGTTTTTTCTATCTTTTTGTTCTTGTTGTTTTCCGTTCTCTTTTTATCTACCTAAGTATCTATCATTTTATCTTTTTCCTTCGTCTTTTATCCCTTCTTCCTTTCCTTATTTCCATTCTTCTCGTTCTTTCTTTTTAAAACATTGTACAACGCATATTAATGGAAATAAAACAAGTAGCATATTTCGGGCGTCCTTTCGACGCCTTATTTATTTATAGGTTAATTATCGATAAAATATTAATTAAAAGAATGATTCTCTTTTTGACAGACATAAACGGTTGTACATATATATTGTATATAAACACATAGACGCCAGACACACACATATACATACATACACATGTCGCTCGTCAAACAGACGACTTTTGTAATGTTCAAGTGAGCGTCTAAAAAAGTCAGACGCTCTATTTGAATATGTAAATTTTCTATTCAAAATGTGGAAAAATTCTTGAAGGTTTAAGATAAAAATACTCTTTTTGAATGAAAAACTGTCCTCCAACGATCTCTTAACGCTCAATTGAACTCAGTTGGATTTTAAAATGGACGCTCCGTGACGCCGACAATTCAGGAAATTTTTTTTCTCAACGCTAGTTGTCAGGTTCAATACCGTTACGAGACGTTTCGGGAAATAATTGCGTTTTTTTAAAGCGCTGTCTCTAATAGCCGTTATAATGGCCTCATCACTATAATCAATTAGAACGGTTGGTTGAATGGAGCGCGTTCATAGGCCTATTGAGGCCCTGCTGTTACAGCATTGTGCTAACTGTCATCAATTTTTCATTCGCAACGATTCAAATTGACCGTGTTGTGGTTCGTGGAGGGCAATTTATAAGACTGAGTGTCTTGATGAGATTTTTTCAGTTCTTCTTCCCTACTTTTTCCTTTTGTAGTTTTGTCAAGAAAAATACTTGAACGTTCAGAATTTGGGAAAATTTTCAATTATCAATAAACTATATTTATCTACAGTTATAGAGAGTAAGTTGAAATTATTCATATCTATCCTTTCTATCTTCCGTATCATTCCCACTTTTAATTCTTATTCAATACGTAAATATTTTGTTTGAAAAATTCAAACATTTCAATAATTAAATCGCTTTTTCTCAGCCTAATTCGGTACAAGCGTTTCCTTTCATGTCAAAAGGGAAAAAACAGATTCTTTCATTTTCAATACGTT